TCCAGGAGCAGATCTCTTGAAACATATGTCACGAGTCCAAGTTGGGTAGTCTTCGTTGGCTTGAAAATATATGTGGCCGCTAGCACTTTTCTTCGCAACTAGCTCCCCCATCAATCTACAGCTCGAAAGCCGGAGTGCGCTAGCACCTAACAAACTAGGAGATATCTATTCTCTCAATGTGGTAGGGGGGGCACGTATCCTCCACCGAGCTTATGTTTGAAGGATTTGGTATCCAAGGCATTGCAAACTCCCACACCATAGAATGTCCATGGTAAATAATGGAGTAGTGGTAGCTCACAAGCTATCTTGCGATAAGGTCCAAGGTAAATAATGGAGTTGTGCTAGCCCACAAGCTATTTTGTGATAGTGGTCCAATGCAAATTCGTCTTTTTCCACTTCTTTAACTATCATGGGGATGAATACAAGCCATGGGTAGACACCCTGATCCTAATTAAGATAATTGTAGGAAAATCTAAGTGCCTTCGGGACACCTACCTTACAATCTGAACTATTTGGAACTCCAAAACTGTACCCTTCTACCCATACCACCCCAAAATTGTACCCTTCCATCTTGCAATAAGGTCCAAGGTAAATAATGGAGTTGTGCTAGCTCACAAGCTATATTGTGATGGTGGTCTAGTGCAAATTTATCTTTTTCCACTCCATTAACTATCATGGGGATGAATACAATCCACGTCATATTAGGGTAGACAACCTTGTCCCGATTAAGATAATTGTAGGAAAATCAAAGTGCCCTCAGGACAACTACCTTAAAATCTAAACCACTTGGAACCCCAAAACTGTACCCTTCTACCCATACCACTCGACAGAGTTTTCAATGGGACTCGACCCTGAATTTGGAACTTTGAAAGGCATATTGACAGTCTAAGATCGGCTGCAAGACAAGAGGAAATATGAAGTAAACAGTCCAGAATCAGAGAATAACTTAGTATGGAGTATGGGGGCAAGATGTCGGGCTAACACGAGTCCATATGGGGGCAAGATGTCGGGCTAACACGAGAGTTAATTCGTCCGAATCTCCTAACTACAACAACCCCTGCGCCAACGAAACTCACATAGGCGGTGGCTCGTCGCCGAATTAGCACGTCAACTGACACCTCGAAATGCGGATACCCTAAAGCACTTGGCAAAAGTCACGCACTTGAGTTGATTCTGAACCGGCATTGACTCCGAGTGGTGAGCCTACAGGCCCGAACCTTTTACCTTCTTTTGACCTCGGTTTTGAAACCTTATTCCAGACTTCCAATTCGGTTTTGAAACCTTATTCTAGACTTCCAATTCAAACTTAAAAATGAAATAAGATGGGTTTAGAGGGACAATAACTTAATAAGAAAGTTTATTTCTTTCTCTCTCTTACTTCTATCTTTACCAATAAATTTCTAAAAATATCTCTCTCACCTCAAATAATTCATATAATCTCTAACCTAAAATATTTTCAAGAATCTCTCTCTAATCTAAAACATCTCACTAAAGTGTAGGACAAACATTAAGAAATGGTACCTCTATAAGGCCAAATGGACGGAGGAAATAATTCCAAAGAAATACCATTTCTATTCTTTAAAAAAAGGAAAAGTCTAGTTTCATGATAATATTTATAGTTGAGAGTAGCAAATCCTAAAATTTTATAAAATCCATCTATAAGATTGATTTTGATGGGGGACGCAAGTATAGATGAGTCGGCTAATTCAATTAATATTTTTCTTAATTATATTATTATATAATTTACAATATAACTAAAAGTTACGGTTCATAAAGTCACATTCATCTATTATGAAACAAAAAGAAAAGAAGAAAATAAAAATTGGTATATAAAATATTTTTATATTGATATTGATTTTATGATATTATAAATACTATATATTTGTAAGGATAATATTATTATAACATATTCAATATCATCATCATCATTATTATTATTATTATTTAAAATACCATGTCAATGAATCATCAATGACGAGCGAACACTGGTAAATCCTCCCAACTTACAAATGTCTCAAAATTGAACAAACAATTTAATTTTTTAAGAGCAAGATCTAATTGACAAAAAAAACTTAAAATTCATTTTTTTTTCTTCTTTTGATGATAATCATATGGTGATCCTTAGATGGTTCCCAAAAATCCAGACCGACAAAAATCCTCCCAAATATGTCTTTTAAGTGAAAGAATAGATACGCAATATGTTATTGCCCGAGTATAGTATACACGATTTACAATAAAAACATTTACCTTTACTATAAGGGCACAATAATGTTTAGGCTTAGATTTGAAATCAGGCAGCTAGAGTGTTTTACTGAATGAGCTAATATATCAAAATTTGTTCAAACAATGTGACACAACCCAAAATATTATATTTAAAATTTACGGTTAGGAGAGATTGTGACTTCCTCATACATGGCATAAAAAATATACAATCCCTTAAAAATGATAAGCCGACTTGGGAATTTTGGGGTCCATCAAATGCCCTTACTATTTGATCCACATGGCTAAAGAAACAATATTGTGCACATATTGTTCCCACATCAAGGAATGTTCATTAGAAAGTGAGCTTTTTTGAATGAAAGTTATACCACAAGGGTAAGTATTTTCATTCTAAAATAGATATTCATAGCACGACTTCAATACCATCTTGTAAGAAATTTAATTAGGTATCCATATTTTCTCACGTTTTAATCACTCGAATAATATAGTATTTATTAAATTACATATAATATTAATTATAGTTATACTAGTTTTTACTATTAAGTCCTTTCAAAATTTTAAACTACATCGTATTATATTTACTATAAAATTAGAACACCAATTTTTAAAAAATGCCCCACGTCTTTTAATTCTAGTGTACAAATGACTTATTTATTTTGGATTATGAATTTTTATAGCTTGAAAAATGCAATATATACTTATTTCTCCATTTTTTAAGATTTTTAAAAATTACAAAATATCAATGTTGCACCCTAGCCATTATGCCACTGCAGTCATGATACTTCTTGATTGTGATATTTGTATAAATCATAATATAGTCACTTTGCTACAAATGTGTTTTAAGTTTCAAGATCATTTATATTTTTTAATTTTGTACTTCAATTTCTTTTGAATTTTATTTATATCCAATATTATTTGTTTTAAAACATAATTCTTAATGGAAATCTCATTTTCTTCAAATAGTTTTTGACCAATTACCAAATTTCTTGTAACGAAGTTTTAAATACTTCAACTAAATTGTGATGTTTTTTTCTTAACGAGTAAGAGTTTTTTTAAAAAATAACTATATATTTTCTATTAACTCTTATACTTCTAAATATAATGAATTTCTGAAAGTTCTGTGTGCAATATTTTCTAATAATTTGTTAAGCGTTTAAAATAAAATTTTTGTATACTACAAGGAAAAATAATACTAGTTCTAAAGTTTTTTTAAATTATTGATTCTAAATTTTCATGGTTTTTAATTATTTAACATGATATATGTAAGGCATAGTTTGCACGAGGCTGAATTTTTATCTATAGGGTGTAGTTTGCACAAGGCTACAACATTAAGCAATCAAAGTAAGATGCACCTCCAATTTTGGTGATGAAAATTCTTAGGAGAATCTATTTTCATCTCTAATTATAAAATTTTGAGCTCCAAAAATTGTTCAAATAAAACATATCTATAAGCACATTAAAATCTTGAAAATTGGCAATTCATATAATATGTTGCAAGATGTATTATTTTTTGGACTTCAAAACTTTTTTTTTTTTTTAATATATCCATACACTTCGATGTCTAGATGATCAATCGGATGGTTTTGACATCAAAGCAGCCTTCGATGAAATTTTTTGAAGTGCAACTTAATTCTTTCAACCTCATAATATAAGGTTGTGGCCCTAAATAATCAAATTAAAGTGCACTTAAAAGCCTCAATTCAATTATCTTAACCTCAAAATATATAGACATGAGAAAAAATAGATTTTAGGTCTTAGAAATAATACATCTTGTGATGAATTATCTAAGCCATCAATTTTTAATATTTTTAAGTGTTTATAGATCTGCTCAATCTGCACTATTGTTTAGGGCTGCACCTTATATAAACTTTTTTATATAAGGCTGAAAGAATTAAGGTGCATTTCAAAAATTAAATCTTCAAAGGCTATTTTGATGTTAAAAACCATTTGATTGATCATCTAGATATTGAAATGTATGGATATAAAAAAAAAAGGTTTTTAAGTACAAAAAATACTACATCTTACACTTTCGATATCTTGAGTCAATAATCCAGGAAAATAAAAAAATTGAGGAAGACATCACACATAGAATTAGAGCTGAGTTGGCAAAGTAGAGATGTACAATCGGAGTTTTATGTGGGCTAGCTATGTGCAACACAAACCTAAAACAACACCGGTTAGAATATAGAAGTTGATTCAAGTAGAAAGCTAAAAAATGGCAAGGGATATGGCCAAAAGAACAAGGTTGAAGTTACGATCATTGATAGAGCTGAATGGTAGACCATAATTTATGTGGCCAACTTCAAATAATTGGAAAAAAACTTTGATGATGATTGATATAAAATAAAATTTTATAATTAGAGATGACAATAAATTTGCAAGCCATCACAAAAACCTTCGATACTAAACAACACATTTTGGCTCTATTAGAAGGTCCGCCTTACTTTGATTATTTAGGGCCTCAGCTTTATACAAATCACAAGTTACTGTATATGTATCTATGTAGGGGCACACTTTTGCGTGGGGCTAGCCCGCACAACTTGTCCACCGTCCAATCAAATTGGATGGCGATCATTGCAAGATTTCAGTCCAACCACAAAACAATTATTTTTACGTAATCACGGTTTCTATAACTCCATGTGAAATTAATTTCCTCTTAAAAATCTGTTTTTGAAATGGATTTTTTGACCCAATTTTTTGGACATATAATTTATAACATGAAGATCACCATATAGAAAAATAAGTAAATTTAAAAATAAAAAATAATAATTTTAAGAAGTCAAGTCCATCTCTAACTATGCACGCTTTGTACCTCCGGGTCGCAAATGTAGAAATCCGTCCCCCGACGCATGGAGTAATTTTCCTTATCTCCTATTATTTCCGTATATTGTTGAATTATGCCAGACGCGCGAGCTCGTTACCGGGGAAATCATCCACTATATATACTCAATCTTATTGTCTTATTTTGCAGTTTCAGTCTCTTGTACAGTACGGTTCTAGAGAGAGAGAGATCATCCATGCATCAAGCGTTCTAGAGAGAGAGATTTTGGTACCTTTGCGCTCTTGTGTGGTAAAAGATTGACCCATTTTATTTGTTTTCTTGATTTTTTTTCGTTGTTTTATTTACTAGGGCCAAATATTTGGAATTTTTCGTTGTTTTCTTTTCTATGGCTAAATATTTGAAATTTTGTTTTCGTGATAAAGGTGACGACAGTGTTCCAAAAAAATTTCTGGCCTCTAGATCTAATTTTTTGATAGGTTTTAAATGAACCTAAAACTGATTATTTCTAAAATAATCTAAAAAATGGCTGTCCGCTTTGATATATTTGGATTCTTTGTTGATGTTTAATTTCTTTTTGAAGGTATGGGTTTTTATGTGATCCACGTTTTCTTAGCGGTTAATGGAATTCTACGGTTGTTTCAGAATGAAAGGAGTGGTGTCTCTTACCAAGTTTTGTCTTCTTATTTATGTGTCGATTCTGATTTAATACAGCTTCTTGGTTGTGTGATCATGAACGAATTTACATGTTTTGTGAATGTCTTATGGGTCTGCGCATTTATTGTTTATTTTCTCTTACAGTGTACAAATTTCAATTTATGTGTTTTTGTTCTATTGGTCTTCAAATTCTAGCATTTATATCATGAATTGATTAATTCGTTCACCTTTACTTAGTTCTTCTTGTTGATCAGATGGAGAGATCCTTTATTCATTGTGATATTCTGCAAGTATTTAAATGAAATAAATTGTTTGAAAATTGGTTAAAATCTCATTGTTTCTATATGGTTTAGGTATTTTAGGCTTACTTATAGTTACATAACCCAGACTTCCTTCATAATCAAGGGCTTTATGTCAGGTGAAAGATTGAATTTCAATTCAATGTGAACTGTAGTTTGTTGCCTCTGATGATCAGAATAAGTTTTAGACAATATTTGGAAACCCTAGAAATACATCTGTGTTTTTGTTGCCAGTGGAACGCTAGGTTTCCATGGGAATTACTTTTTTTATTTTTTTGAGAGAGAAGTCGAGATAGTCCTTTTTTTTTTTTGAGAGAGAGAGGGTTCCTTTTGAGAAGTATGGGTTTACTATTGTTGACATTTTATTGAATAAATGTTGATTTTTTTTTCCCATAATACAATTGAGGGGTTAGTGCAGCTTAATGATGTTGCGTGATCTGATTCTCTAGGGACCCATAAGACAAGGTAGTCTATAATGGACACTGGAGGAAGCTCTCTTCCTTCAGGCCCTGACGGGGTGAAGCGAAAGGTCTCGTATTTCTATGACCCAGAGGTCGGGAACTATTATTATGGTCAAGGTCACCCCATGAAGCCCCATCGAATCCGTATGACCCATGCCCTTTTGGCTCATTATGGCCTCCTCCACCAAATGCAAGTTCTCAAGCCCTTCCCTTCTAGGGATAGGGATTTATGCAAGTTCCATGCTGATGATTATGTTGCTTTTTTGAGGGGTATAACTCCTGAAACTCAACAAGATCATATGAAGGCATTAAAGAGGTTCAACGTGGGAGAAGATTGCCCGGTTTTTGATGGTCTTTACTCTTTTTGTCAAACTTATGCTGGTGGATCAGTTGGGGGTGCTGTGAAATTGAACCATAGGCTCTGTGATATTGCCATCAATTGGGCTGGGGGCCTTCACCATGCCAAAAAGTGTGAGGCTTCAGGGTTTTGTTATGTGAATGATATTGTGTTGGCAATTTTGGAACTATTGAAGCAGCATGAGGTTAGTACCAAATAGGTGAATCATAGTTTTGATTGGACTCAATTCTTTATGTGATCGTTCTTTTTTGTTATTAATCGTCTTTTATGCAATTGTTGTTGTGAGGCTCTTTTTCCTTTGAAATTTTGAATATGTGTTTGTTTTTGTATAACCTTCTTTTTTTATTTGTTGTCATTGCACTGGCACTCTCAGCTTGATCTCTTAAAAGTTTGTTTCTGATCTCGTTATCCTCCTTTTTCGTTTTCTTTTTCAAATTCATTTTCTCATTCTTTTTATGTTTTGTTTTGTGTTCATCTTGTTGGTCATGGCGTTATTATCTATGATTTTCCTCCAATTGGGGCCAACTTTTGTCATTATTAAATTGACATCCGCCCACACACACACATTGGGTGGGTAAGCGAGGTCCCCATACCCATAACCTTGAGGTCGCAATGACAAGTGTCTTCCAATTGAGCTACCGGCTTGAAAATGAATGAAATTCATATATTTTCATGATCCAAATTTACATTGCTTCCTTATTGATTTTCTTAGTAGGTTTTTTGTATGTAATTCTTGGAATGTTGGTAGACATTTAGCTGCTTGTAGCTTGCATGAGTTTAATCACAATTTTGTTTTGGAATTCAGATTAGATCGATTAAATCACTTTTCTAACCTATCATAAAGTACTAATTATGTTCATGGGAATGAAGTTTTAATTATATCACTAAGCATGAATTCTGTCACAAATTTTCATACTGTCTCATCAATGGGTGCAAAACCTTGTTCACATGGTTGTGTGGTTGGGCCACAAAGACAATATTATTTTATAATTCATCTATCAAAAACCAAAAGCATTATTTAACTCTGGAATTGATTCAACGATTCGAGCATGGCCCTTTTAAGACAAAGTTTCCCTCATTTTGAAGCATATGCAATGCAAGAGACATTGGCTGTTATTTCTTTTACTTGAATGGATGTGCATCTGGAGTATATCTGATCTCAAACCTTTGAATACGATTCTCACAAGCTTCTTTTGTAGATATGTTGGATGTCTGTTAAGCCAGACATTTGATCTCAAAAGTTTCTAACTTGAGTGAAATGTACAGCAATAGTCAAATTTAGCATGGACTCTGTGATCTTTTACACAATAGCTTAGTTCCCACCATGTTACTGAATTGCCTATCATAGTAATCTGTGATTGCTATAGAGAGTTGTGTTCCTTGAAATGAATCATATCTCTTTAATAGTGTAATGTGTTAGAAATTGCAAAGAGTGAAACCTGGGATATCACCTAGGCCATGATTGTGTTCCAAGCCTAGCAGACTCAATAAGAGTTAGCCTAGTATAGTGAAAGAAAACCAGGACTCAGTCTGGTCTCTTATGACTCGTCCAAGACTCAATGACCTTCCAAAGCAAGTAGAAACTCTCATTTGATAGAAAAACAAGAGCTTATAAGTTATTGATTGTGTTAGGAATGGAAATATAATCGAACCACATCATACCAATAAAATTAGCTGTTAGGTTCTTTGTGCATAAAAGTGACATTTAGGTGGTTCTTGTCGGATTTCACACCAAGAAAATGTGGTTCTTATAGTGTTTATGTTGGAAGAAGCAGTTTCTAGTTCCGTCATTTCCATATCAGTACCTTGTGCCATGGGCATCTGCTATTTTATTTACCCCAAATAGTTGGGATAAGGCTCGGATGATGATGATGAAACATAATGGGAAGAAGTTGTAGAAGGAGTCCATGGTTATATGATGACTTGGTTGTTGCAAACTTTTCATTTCTCTAAGGCCTAGGGATGTTCTGGTAATTTTTCAGAAGTAGTTTCATAATTTCAGGGGCTATTCGCATGACAGTTAATTCTATTAGGAGTAGACTACCGTAACTAAAATTAATGCACTCTGCATAATATTATCTTGTTAGCTTTTTGGTACATACTCTATATTATGAATAATATAATTTAACTGTTATTTGATACTGTGGGCCATCACTTAAAGCTAATTACTAGTTTGGCAATTTTCAGCCAGATGTAAAGCTGCCTGTAAGTTCATCACAAATAAGTTATGATGGACATACCAAACAGCACGTTATTGAGTATCAAGTTTAATTTTATCGAAATAGTGAATTATCAATGATAATGAGTACATCCAAACGCGCCCTTACTTTATATTTCATATCATTTAGTTAAGCTTTAAGTCAAAGGCTGATATAATATGTAGTCTTTCATGTATTGTATTTGTTCCTTAGAACTGCCTTTTATATCTCAAATTTCAAACTGGTAGGACTCAGCTTAGTCCTGATCCAAGTGGTGTTGTGCAATTCCTGAGTCAGCTTGCTGAGTTTGAAACAATGATTGGGATTGAGCAGCCCAGATGAGGCGAGATCTTGTATGCTGTGCACATTAGGAGTACCTATAATACGAGGCTTCCAGCTCTTAGTCACCGGAATTGCCCAACCAAGGGGTCGATTCTGCTCTGGATTCTTGCTCCTCTGCGATTTTTAAACTTTGGAATCTCTATCCTTCTTACTAGGGGGTTGAGATCTTGAGTTGCAAGTGTCCAGATTCTCTAGAACTATAGTATAACAATATCGTATAGTATGAGAGTGTGGTATAATATAGTAGTGTAGTACAGCAGTATAAAGATTATAGTAGTGTGGTGTAGTATGATATTTTTTTTTGAAGTATAGTACATATTGTATTTGTATATAGTAGATTCAAATACATAGTATCATATAACATAGTACTGCAGTGTAGTGTAGCAGTTTGGTATTGTATATATTTCAGTCATATATACAATACTACTATACTAATTGAGTATTCTTGGGAACATTGATTTTAACCAGTTGGGGTTGGTTACGTTTGGATTGAGCTCCCCCACATACTTGGGATCGAGATACCTAGATTTCAGGGTATATAGACCTCGATCCCTATCATAAGGGGCTTCCTGCTTGTCATGATCTTGTGGTTGTGATCCCTATCTTGATCCTGATCCTGGTCTTGGATATTTTTCAACCCTGATCGCAACAACTATATCCAGCTTATGCTTTTTATTTGAGCATCGTTCTAATAAACCGAGATAGAGGGTTCACAACTTGATCTAAAAACTATGATTTTATCAGTCAACATAAAGTTTCAATTGGTATTTTTGCTTTCTTCTGCTCATTAGTTTTTGGTTATGGGAAATATAGGGAAAATCTAAGAAATTAGGAGCAACTAATGAGAACGTTTCAGTAGGCATTGTTAGCATATGTAATAGTTGAACGCCTGGCTGGTGTTCAAGGTTCAAGCCCTAGTGGGAGGGTTCTTCTATAGGCTCTGATACCATGTTAGGATCAGAATTACTTGTGCAGAATTTTTATCAAGGAAAAACAAGTTATTAGTCCCATATACCCTTGAACTAGTAGACATATTACATAAATAAAATAAAATAGAAAATAACATCTTAACATGTGTTTGCTTACATATATATGGCTTTACTAAGATACTATTGATTAACATTTGTTAGCCTCCACCAATATTTTTTTGGGACTCTTTGCATTCCATTGTGGTGATACTTAATTTTGTAAATTTGCCAAAAACAAGTTTGACACTGACATTTAAAGCACGGGTTTATGTCACTGGCTGATAAATCATAAGCCATTAGAGCTGATGTCATGGTATTAAACATGTCAGGTCGACACATACACCATGCTACACGTGTCATTTCAAACTTCCTGCTGCTAAATGACCAAAAATTCCCGAAATTGATTTGCAACAGGATACTAATTTTGGAAGTAGAAGCTAGCTTTCATCCATCTGTTATACACATATGTGTGCATGTGAATGCGACAACATAAATGTTGAACCCTCTAATATAACTTGAGGTTAACAATTTGTTTAAATTGGCCACTTCTAATTTTACAAAATTTGCAAAAATTTGTATGGTGAAAACTAGCTTCTAGTTTCCACAATTGCCATCTTGGAACTTTGTGCCGTCAGCATCTGCTGTTTATTTCCTTCTCAAATTGCAAAGATTTGATGTGTCATGTTTTGGTTTCTTGGATGCAATCAAGCACCATGTATTTAAACAATGAACTAGGCTTGGGACTTGGCCTGGTCACCAGCAAGTGAAGTACTCTGCCTGAGTACTTTCTTATAGCAATACAAATGTCAACATTTCTCAAAAAAGTACTCAGCCTGGTCCCTATCTAAGATGCTTTGTGCGAATCATTAGTCTGCTTGCTGATTTTCAAACAGTGATCAAGGATTGAGTGGCCCAGCGGGGAGAGATTTTGTATTTTTGTATACTGTGCACATAGGGAGCACTTATAATAGGTGGCTTTCCAGCTTATGCTTTTTTGTTGAGCATCATTTTAGTCAATCCTAGATAGGGTTCACAATTTAATCAAGAAACTACAATTAGATAAATAAACATAACGTTTTAATGGTATTTTTGCTGTCCATAGATTTTTAGTTATGGGAAATATAGGGAAAGTCTATAAAATTAGGGGATCAGAATTTTTCACTAGGCAGTGCTTGGTTGTCAAGATATGGTAAAGTTGATCCCCTGGTTGGTGTTTGAGCATAGTGTGAGGTTCTGATACCATGTCAGTATTAGAGTAACTTGTGCAGAATTTTTAATTGTGAAAAATAGGTGATTAATGCCATATTTGTACAACTGAGTGGTATAAAGTGCATAAACACGCCTGTACAATAAATATGGCAAAACTGCCCTTAAAATAATAATTGTATCACATAAAAAAACAAAGAAGGCAAGAATATACATCTAAACATGTGTTTACATATATAGAGTTTTACTAAGATACTATCGATTAAAGCTTTTTAGCCTCCACCAAGATCTCTCTGGACACTCCGCAATTCATTGTGGTGACATTTAAAGCATGGGTCTATGTCACTGTCTGACTAATCATAAGACATTGGAGCTGATGTCATAATATTAAACATGTAAGGCCAAGACAGACACCATGCTATATGTGTTATTTCTAACGGCCTGATGTCAAATGGCCAAAAACTCATTCAACAAGATAGTAATTTAATAATTTTAACAAATTATCTTTAATTCAAGTTATATTAGTGGGTCCAATATGTATGTTGTTATATGCACACACACCTAATAATAGTATCTTTAAGTGATTTTTGATGAGGCATTGGAACAAAATTTCTTGAATTAGAATGATCAGTGACAAGAAGATACTAAGAGGAATTCTTTAATTAAGTCTGTATCATTCATTTGTTTGTTTTCTTTCTCTTATCTCTCTCTTTTTCCACTTAACTTTTTCGCCTCTGAAATCCCCTAAACCATGTTACCATGTTTGTTGGCAGCGGGTTCTGTATGTTGATATTGACATCCACCATGGAGATGGTGTTGAGGAAGCCTTTTACACAACTGACAGGGTTATGACAGTTTCGTTCCATAAGTTTGGCGATTATTTCCCTGGGACAGGTGATATTCGTGATATTGGGTACGGAAAAGGGAAATATTACTCTTTGAATGTGCCTCTGGATGATGGAATTGATGATGACAGCTACCAATTCTTATTTAAGCCGATCATGGCCAAAGTTATGGAAGTTTTTCAACCGGGTGCCGTTGTTTTACAGTGCGGGGCTGACTCCCTATCAGGAGATCGACTAGGTTGCTTCAACCTATCCATCAAAGGCCATGCAGAGTGTGTGAGGTTCATGAGATCATTCAATGTGCCATTGCTCCTCCTCGGCGGCGGTGGGTACACCATTAGGAATGTGGCTAGATGCTGGTGTTATGAGGTATTGGTGGTTACTTTTATAGCTGCAAACAAATGGACTTTCGTTCTTTCCTTTTGCTTATAAAAAATCCTGTAGATAAATAATTTATAACTTACAGGGGTTTGCCTTTACTTATTTATTTTGCAATGGTTTTTCTTTTAATGAAAGAACCATGAACAATGAGGTAAAAATTGGTGGTGGAGTTCTTTCTTTAATGCATGAAAAATAAGGGTTTAAATTTCAAAGAATCTAATTCCATGTACTACATGTCTGTTCAGAGTGGTGATCATTTATCAGATTTTAAGCTACATCTCTTCACATGTATTAATTTTGAGATTTATCTCATCCAATTCATTACATCCCCATTTGGTTTGCAAACCACCTCAGTGTCAGCATTTTGAATTGAAATAACCCTAGCTTTGAAGTATTTTGGAATAATGTATAGAAATCCAACATGAGCTTTTTGGGAAGAATGCATATCATTTCAGGAAAATCATGTTAATTAATCAACTAATAGCATATATTAAATTTACTTGAACTTTCAATTGTTCTTTTTAAGAGGAATAATAAATGATGTTGCATTATTTGCTATTAGGAATTGTAAATTCATTTAGACCGCCATTTTGTTTTTAATAAAAGCAGATAAACCCTGAATTTCCTCAAGACCGAAATTAATTTGAAATTGTTTTAAGTGCCAAATGATAGGAAAATTATAACTCCGATTTCAACTAAAATTTCTATCTTTGCAATATCAAATAAATTAAACTAATGTTAAAAAATTGTGTAGTGGACAAATTACCAAAATGTCCTTGCTTTTCAGGGTTATAGAGCTGGAAAGGAGGCACTTTTGTCATTTTTTGAAAAGCCATTTAGAAGGTACCTAAGTGCAATGATTTTTGAAAATTAACCACTTTATTCTCAAATTAGTTGATTTAACCACCTTGTGGATTTTTTTGAAGAGGCTTGATCATTTTACTGATATTTTCCCTAAAATTTATGAAAATTTAAATTGTATCCAATGTTCAAAAAATCAACTCGGCCACAAGGTACTTGGGCGCCGAGGCGATTTACTCGGGCGAGTCCGAGTAACTCGCCGAGTCCAGCTCTTTTTTTAAAGAAAATGGAAAGAAAATAATAGTTATAAATATTATAAGCGCCACTTTTATCCATTGAATAGTAAACTGGAATGCCGGTTAGCTTCCCGTGTATAAATGGGTTTCTTCTCAAGAGGTCTCGTGTTCCATTCCTACGGGGGTTTTATTTTTTTAGAACTCCAAAAATAATGACACTTCTTAAAAGTGGCCTACAGTTGTGGGAATCGAACTCTGAGTGGGTTCACGGGGCTAAAATTTATTATGTAGTACTAACCGAAGAGGCTTCTTAGCACAGTTGTCTTAAAATTGAGGTATTTATATAATTGAACTAAAAAAAGCGTTGTACATCCTACTCACCCAAAACTCGCCTCGCCCATAGGGTGAGGCCGAGTTACTCGGCCAAGTCTCGGAACACTGTTTTATCTTAAGTATTTCACTCCCAAAGAGTTAACGATCTCTCTCATTTTCCTGCCCATGCATTTGATGTGGCGGAATACTAGTATAGTTTCAGTAGTGCTAGCATTCTATGAAATGTCAACATACTAAATTGCATTTTCTAGTATAAACTATGGAGCTTTTTGAGGGCCAAATTGTTGTTAAATTTGTGAATTTTGTTTGTCCATTTTAAATATGCTACATTAAATTATTTTGGGACTTCGGTCTCATTTAAATCTGGTAGAATTTGGCACTGAGCGATTTACTTGCTCACTTAGGTGTATTTTTGGCATCTTTTTGCAAGGTAAAGTTTAATGGACAGAGCTATGGTATATTGGTACACTAAGGCTGTACCTCTATTGTCTGTGACCACTCTTGCATTGTTGTATATTAATTGTAGTGGACCCACAGGGACATTCACCAGGGTACTGTTATTTTGATGTGTTCATCAGTGGGAAAGAATGGTGGATGTAGCTTGGAGTACCATACGTCATTGTCCATTGGGCTTTGGGAGATTTACCTTTTCACAATTGAGGATGTCTTTTCTGGGGATACAATCATTCTAACCTCAAAGAAAGAATGATCTTAAAGTGTTTTTTTATCCAACCAAAGACTGGATGGTAGTGTAGAATGTTTAGGAGCCACCTAAACATGAGGAGATCGGTCCTACCCTCTGTCCTTCACCATCCATCTATTGATTGAATAGTGATGACACATATTTCTTTGGGTAGGCCATAGGGACTTGAACTTGGGATGTAATGTTTCATTCATCAACATCATAACCCGTAGTGCTTGAATCCTGGATGGTGATTAGTTATGACCAATGTTTTCTAACTCGTTTGGGCTTGACCTTGGCTTGAGGCGAATAACCTGGCCAAGTCCGAGCATACTCTGCTGAGTACGGTATAGGGAACACCAAAGAATTATTTAAAATAAAATAAATTGTAAAAGTGAAACAAAACCAATGGCAGTACAAAAGATCCAAAAAAAGCCAAGAAATATATATAAAACATGGATTTAGAGAATATTGATTTATGGTTGTAGATATTTTAGAAATATTCAAAAAAAGAGGAAAATATAAAAAAGGGCACGTGACAAGGAAAACACACAAATTATTGTAAAAACGTCTAAATTACATACAATTTTTATACGTTGATTCCACATTTTTTCCCTAATTTTTACAATATCTTTTTAAATTTTTTAAGTGGCCCGAGTTACACCCAAATACTCAGCTCGGCAAGAAGCTGAGTCCGAATAACTTAGCTGAGTCCAAGCAGACTCAGCTGAGTTGTCAATCATTGGTTATGACCATTTTTATATGGTCATATTGATCTTGATATTGGTTTACGTTTCCATTTTTCCTGATCCTATGCTTGATACTACTTACTCACCATGCTTTTTCTTTTAATTTGGAGCAGACAGGAGTTGCCATTGGTGTGGAAGTTGATGATAAGATGCCCCAACATGAGTATTATGAGTATTTTGGACCTGACTATACTCTGCATGTTGCCCCGAGTAATATGGAAAACAAAAATTCACGGCAATTAGTTGAGAACATTAAAGTAAAGTCGCTTCAGAATCTCTCCAGGCTTCCACATGCCCCTAGTGTCCCATTTTATGAGCGGCCCCCTGATACTGAGCTTCCTGAGGTCTCTCTCTCTCTGCCCCCCCACCTCCTGCCTCCCTCCCTCTCTCCCCCTCCTCCCTCCCACTTCCCTCATCTCTCTCTCTCACTCTCTCTGTGTGCTCATGCAACCACCATGTTTATCATCATTGCTTGTATGGTCAATGCTTAGTATACTTCGTATGCCTTTGTGTGTGTGGTGTGCGTGTAAGCACCATGTTTAGTATTGGTTGTTTCTATGTTCAGTGCTATCATTAGCCTCTCTCTCTCCCTCCCTCTCTCTCTCTGCATGCTCATGCAAGCACCATGTTTAGCATTAATTCTTTGTATTGTCCAGTGTTTCAAAAAGCGCTAGGCGGCACCTAGGTGGTGGGGGGGTCCAGGTCGCCCAGCGCCTAGGTGGGCGTCCAGAACCTGGGCAGCTCACTATAGTTTTTGTTTTTTTGGGCTTTCTCTCTCTAAAATAGCCTCTAATGCCCCTTTAGTATTAAAAAAATGACCCAAAAATACCCTCAAGGAGCTGCATTTCCGCCCCTGGGTGGGGTGCATGCCCTGGGCAGCCGTCTAGGCGGGTTCAGGTGGGCGCCCAGGGATATCCGCCTAGGCATCCGCTCAAGCACTGGGCGGTCCGCTTTTTGAAACTATGGTATGGGCAATGCTATCATTAGTATACTTCATATGCCTTTGTGTATGTGTGTGTGCGTGCGTGCGCACGTGCTCAAGCGCCATTTTTAGCATTAATTGTTTGTATGGTCAGTGCAATCATTAGCATACTTCATATACATTGGGGTTTGTGTGTGTTTGTGTTGTGGCCTGTACAGATATGTTACTGACATTAGGAAAGTCACACTTCAAAGGCTTTCTGTTCCTTTATTAATGATATATGGTTTCATCTATCTATGTGTATATATACTCTAGTAAGAAATATAGTCAACTGGTTTTTGATGGTAGGGAGTTCAACTGTGATATTACAGGCAAGCTCTTGTTTTTTTGGAAAACCATTGGGAGTTCAGGAGTGTCGAAATTGATTTTTGAAGTCCAACAAAGCTAACAAATTATGTTATGTATAGGTTTAGGATGACAGATCTTAATTTTAAATTTAAAGCTAAAGATATTTACCAATTATTAGCTTACCAATCTGCTTGGATGGCATGTCATCCAGATGGGTTCCACGTTACTGTAAGAAATTGTTCTTTGCAATATTGTTTAGATCACAATCTTCAAAGTGTGTGTGTGTGTGAAACTCTGCATATTTGCATTTCGTGGGTGGGCTGGCATTCCTTCAATAACCAGTGGTTCAGCTCTTATACTTTGTGTATCTTGGAACTTTGACAAAACAGCACTGGATCATCTGAACTCAATATTGCTTTCTTCAGTTGTTTAATTGTGTGTTTTTGCTTTCCGTATTTCCCAGGAAGATGATGACTACGACAGAAAAGAAGAGAGATTGGAAAGCGATCACTTGAATTTGGATACTGAAATGGGTGAATTGAAGCATTCAAATGAGGTTATTTGGTACCCTGACAGGAAGTCTATCCCATCCATCCAAAATATTCGACCAAAGAAAGCAATTGGAGAGGCTGAGCTAAAAGATGAGGTAATCTCTATTGCTTCCGAGCAGTTTTGTTTCAGTTGATTTCTGTGTGCATGACGGAAGCAGCCTACTTGCTTTTTATACCTACCAAGCATTTGTGGAACTGGGAGCCATTAGGTTTATACTACTTGAAAATGCCATGTTTTTAAAAGTTTGCTCATGTAAATTTATGAGCATAACGATTTCCACTTGTTGTCTACGGGCTTGCAGAATCAGGATGATCGGAAGGAAGTGGTAGAGAATGTTAGATGCATGGATATTGAAACAGAAGAAAACCTTGGCTCAAAGGTGAATCTCTCTCTCTCTCTCTCTCACAAACATGCACACATGCATTAGGGTGGAGAACAGAATGGATCAGAACCCCCGAGATGTCTTAGAGACCAACCATACCATAAAAAAGTTCTCTTGTTTTCATATTTTGGCTTTCACTTTTCACACATTAGGGGTGAGACCGAATGGAATCATAACTCTGAAAATCTCTTAGAAACACACCCCATACCATGACAATTTTTCTTCTATGTTTTAATATTTCCACTTTCCTTTTCCAGTCTTCAGAACCTGTTCTCGTGGAGACTGACCAGCCAAGGAGCAATATCACTGAGCCATAGAATGGAAATAAGCCATCTGAACAACTTACCATTCCTTTCGTGAAGTCCTTAATAAAAGAGCTTCGCAGCCACGTGGAAATCTTTGACATGTTAACATGCTAATATGATATGCAATCTGTTTTTTGTAAAAAAATTAGCTGGCCTCTTTAACAACAAATTAAAATTTCAATTATACGGGCATGGAAAGCAGATCAAAGCCAAGTGTTTTGTTGTGCCGAACTTGTTAGCCATTTCCGATTGCCCAGAAAATATTTTGTATTTATAGAAGCTAAGTTCTTGTTACAGTTATGTATGCCCATCAAGGGATTATGATTATGTAAATTATACTCTGGTTTCCAGTCACAGTCACTTTCAGTTGAGCATTGTAGTATGATCAAAGTACTATATTTTTTTAAGGGATAGTGGGTGATGAGTGGCCCATCATCACCAATGGGTTGATTAAACGGTTAGAGATGCTTGTGACCATGTTTTCCATCATTGATGGACGGTGATAGATGCACGTGATCATGGATTTTCTATGGTTTGGAACCTACTCCTGCGAAAATTAGATCTCCTATCTGACTCGTTCAAACAGAAACCTCTCCCTTGCAGGGCATTTTAGTTGGAACGGGAGAGAGGTTCCATTGAGAATACTTTCCTATGTTTGTTTCGTGGTGATTAGGAAAGCGCCTTGTTATGCATGTTAATGATGTTTTTAGTAAAATGCCTCAAATGTTTAGAAATATTTAACATAAAAAATTATGTACTTTATACTTTTGAACAAAATGGTGTTGCTGAATGAAAAAATCGTTATATTTTAGAGACTATAAGGGCTTTTATTTTATCTAGCTTTGTTCCAAAGTCTTTTTGAGCTGAAACAATTCAGAACAAAGTCTTTTTGAGCTGAAACAATTCAGATATCCACTTGATGAACGTTATGCATTTTTTATTTTACCTAGGTACTCTCTTTTGGGCGACTATTATCTCACTCACTTTACTCTATGCTTTGTGTTTTTTGTTGAACTTGTTATTTTTTTTTTGCTTGCATCTGAACGAGATAAATTAGCGCCAAAGCTATGAAATCTTTATAGGGGAAATATTTCTGTATCTTTTATTTTTGGTTTTCATATCTCAATAGATCCAAAGATTCAAAATATATTTCCTAACCCTTTTACTAACTTTATCTATTTTTAACTATTTTTTTAGTACTAATAAATATAAAAAAAACACGCTCTTTCTAAACCCTTTCTCCTTTTACGTGATATATTCCCCTCAAATTTTTCTATTTTTCTCTCTACCGTGAGATTTTGCCAAATCCCTTCTCTCTCTCTCTCTCTCCTCTCTTTCTCTTTGTATTTTTCCCCATTTTCTCTTTAGGTCTCTCGCTCTCTCTCTCTCTACCACGTGTTTCCTGAAACCCCTCTTTGTCAGTTTGGGTTCCAAAAACAGGCACTTTTTGACATACAGTTAATCATCTATGCGAATAATATCCAACCAATCAATGGAAAAAATCCACAGAAATCAAGTAAATATATAAAGAAAATAAACCATGAAGAGAGAGAGTGGGAAAATAGGGAGAGAGAGAGGGTTTGAAAAAAGTCACGGAGAGAGATATTTAAGGGAAAATCATGTGAAGAGAGAAAAATGATGGTATTTATAAATGATACATCTTTATTATATTTGTTTGGGACAAAAAAAAAGGTTTAAAAGGGATAAAGTTAGTTTAGGGGGTTAGAAGATACAAGACTTAGAATTTCTATGACTCAAGATATTTTTTGAAATATTGGGTCTATTGAGATACAAAACTTAAAAATGAGGGGTATAGAGATATTTTCCAAAAAAAATGTGTGTTATGATTTAATAACCAAGAGAATTTGAGTATTTAGATATGTTGTATTTTCTGAATATATCCCTCTTTACTGACATCCACTATTACCAACTATTTATCTGATTTTTCTTTTCTTATTCCATTTTATGATAATGATTCATCACTATTTACACCTCAGTCATCATATTCCACCTTTGAAACCAATTGTTAGGAGGAAGATCATTCAGTTGCTGCTGTGAATCGCATTCAAGAACTTGCCCCTGTTGATCTTACACATACACCTGTTGTGAGCCATAATACTTGTGTTTTTATTTTGCCTTCCTAGTTTGTTGATTATGAAACATTTTTACCTTGAGTTCGAGCCTTTCTTGCCTCTATTCACTCTTATTTTGAGCTACAGACCTACAAAGAAGCTACCAATTTGACATAGTGGCATCATGCAATAGCAGAACAACTAAATATCCTTAATCAGATGCATACTTGGGACCTTGTTCCTCTTCCAAAAAGAAATAATGCTATTGGTTGTTGATGGGTCTATAAAATCAAACAAAAGCAGGTGTTAACATCGAATGATGTAATGCTCACCTGGTAGCAAATAGATAAAATCAACAATTTGAAATTGATTTTGTAGAAACTTTTGCCCTAGTAGTTCATATTAAGACCCTTATTTATGTTACATCTATCCAACACTGGCCTTTATACCAGTTAGATGTCAAAAATGCATATACTAATGGTGACTTTGATGAGGAGGTATTTATGAAATTATCTCTAAAGTTACATAATAGGGTGTGTAGCCTTTGATGAGCCCTGTATAGACTCAAAAAAGCATTTTGTGCTTAGTTTAAAAAATTTCATAATCATGTTAGTAGGATTTCAACAAAGGCATCATGATCCAGCCTTATTTGTGTTTGATACTTTTATTGAATGAGCACTTCTCTTACCGTATGCAGATGATGTAATCATATTTATAAGATTAAATAAAAACTCAATCACATATTTAAAATGAAAGACTTGGGGTTCTTGCGCTATTTTCTTGGCCTAAAATTTGCTTATTCTCCTCACGGCTATCAATTATCTCAGCAGAAGTATACCTTACTGATTGTCTCTTAAGCTCGCCGTACAGACGATACTACGAGAGTTGATACTCCCATATGATGAATTGCTCCTTGATCTAACATTTTAATGCAAATTGATTAGGAAATTGATATATCTGACAATTTCTCACGTCGATATTGCTTATGTTGTGCGTCTGGTTAGCCAATTTTCCGAGTGCTATTTGGTCCATCCACTTAGCTGCAGTCTTTTGCATCATTCGTTATGTCATGGATACTCGACACCGTGCTTTATTCTTCTCTTCGTCTTCCTCACTTGAACTTCGGGATACACAGACTCAGATTTTACATGGAACTCAAGTGATCGCAAATCAACTACATAACTACATGATTTTTCATTTTCTTGGGGATTCTCTTTTATCATGGAAAAGTAAGAAAAAAAAAAGGCATCACCTAATCTACTATAGAAGTTAAGTATAGGGCAATGGTGTAGACTACAATTGAAATTGTTTCTATTCGATGTCTGGTTGCTGACATATGTATTACTATTACTACTCACACACCACTTTATTGAGTTAATAAGTGTGCCATCTACATTTCCAAAAATCCAGAATTATTTGAATGTACCAAACATATTGAAGTTGATAGTCAATTTACGACAAGAAGTTTTGACGGGCACAATTTCTCTTTTATATAATGTCTCATCTATAAGCAGCTGGCTGACTTCTTCACTACAATGTATACTACACCTCAATAGTCACAGTGTATCTCCAAACTCTCCATGATTTCTACAAAACCTTCCCAAGTTTGAGGGAGAATGTGAACTAATAGCAACCTATATATATTTTAGGGAAATTATAAAATACATCCTAAAATGAACTATCTATGCAACTAACCCCGACCCCAATTGTTTCTCACACTTTTTTCCCCCAAACAATATTTCCTCTCAAAAACCCCCCCAAGGTAAAAAGTTCTTTAATTTTTGGATGGAAATGCCCTTCCCATACAAACCAAATCAATTCGCGATCCCAAATAGAGCAGTGCCGAAGCGCAGTATACTACTGCCAGAGTGAAATGTCAAGAAGCACTGCAGGAGCGCGGTGCTACATTGCTGGAGTGAACTACCGGAGTGCGTATTTTCAATGCCAGAGCGCATTCTCAGATTGTCAGAGTGGACTGTCGGAGCACAGTTCTTAGTATGCTAGAGCGATGCGGGTCAGACAAAGCACTGCCGGAGCGCACATTGCGATTGTCGGAGTGCGTATTAGGATTGCCGAAGCGCAGTCCTCCATTGTCGGAGCCAAAGGCCGTGTGAAAAGAAACAAGAGAGAGAATGACATGTGAAAAGAAATGAGGGTATTTTAGTCTTATTTTATTTTACTTTTGGGTTGGGGGTTTTTTGCGAGAAAAGGTTCTTTGGGGGAAAAAAGTGTGAGAAAAAATTGGGGTGGGGGTAAGTTACGAAAATAGTCCATTTTATGTTGTATTTTGTAATTATCCCTATATTTTATGTACAATATTTTCTTTTCTCTTTTTTGTACCCATGTTAGGAAGGTGGTTCATTCGTACGTGTATCTCTGCAATAGCACACAGCTTGTAACCCTATGTTTTAGGGGTCTTGTACACAATTCAAGTATATAGAGAAATCCAATATTTTCCATAATTTAGAAGTAATTTAGGCTTCAATCCCAACTGACAGCCAATATCATGTATTCTATAACTACAAGAAAATACCAGAAAAACCCAAGGAGGCCATTCAAATGATCTCATAATAAGGCTTATTTTTTGAGCGTCGCCATGAAGAAGGACCTTGGACTTCAAGCATTGTCATGACCTGAAACACCCACATTGATGATTGATTAATAAAGGCGATAAGTCAAACCCAAGCCAGATGTACTCAAAAGGGCATTAAATGGTTGAAATTCAATCTAAGAAACCCCCCCCCCCCCCCTATTCCCTTAAAAAAAATCAGGGCATTGGGAGCTCGAGATATGTAAATAGCAATTTTGGCAATGCGAAATAGTGGCCTAGGAGCTTCAAAAAGTAGGTCAATTTACAAGAGGACCCCGTAATATGTATCTAATGGAGCCGAAACTTACGAGATGATAGGAATGCCTCTAGAAAGTGTAAGCATCAAATTTTAGGTCATTCCAATACATTTTCATATATTAATGGAACGGATCTTTGTGGTATCATACTATTCACATGCTAAAAGACAACAAAGTACATGTTGATACCCCCTCATTCTTTTAGCCATATATCTCAAACCCTATAGTAAAATGAGTTGAAATTTGGAGGAAATGTGCCTTGTATATCATTGAGGTTTCCTTGCTTGATTCGCTGCTAGATTTGGGCTGCCCAAAGTTGTTGGTTTACAAGGGTTTCCACATGTTGCAGCCCGCATGACCTCGACTCTTTGGTTGATTTTTCCCGAACAGCGCTGTGTTTTTACCCTAAATTTTGCATGCACACTCTTTATTTAACCCTCCACAGATTGTGCATTTCAAAGTTCCTACGGATATTGAAGCCCATATTAAAGGCCGAAATTTGCTAAAAAGTTGATGTTACAAGAAATGCGATATATGCCCACAAAAACACCCATAACTCCATCAATATGGGGATTTTTTAGTGAAGCTTGAGGCAAAATAATCTTAGATTGATTATCTACGAGCTTATGAAGCCAAAATGGCCACGAGTACTTAAAAAAAAATTCAAAATAGTAGGACAATTTGATGGTATGTGAAGTGCTATAGCGTCCAAGGGCAACCCACTAATATTTCTTTCAAAAAACCCATAACATACTTGCTCCTTCAATAATGAGGGGACAAAATGTTAAATTTTCACCTATGTATAATCTAAGAGTTTGGTTCTGACCCATGTTTCATCCAACTTCTATAAGAATCCCAAACCTTGATCATGAGAGGTTGGAAAAAGCTGAAAATTGGAGATTAAAAGCTTGGATTAGAGCGAGAAATGGTTAGTTAGAGAGACGAAATTTGTTTAGAGAGTGAAACCCATAACTTGAGCGTTAAATTTTCTATCCTAAAGAGAGAGAGAACTCAACCCTAATGAATCCAAACCCTAGCCTAACAAACCAATCTTCAGTCTAGCACAAAACCCTTGAGAAAAAGAGTAAACTCCACTTCATGATGTCATTTGAATTGTTATTTTCTTTGTTGCTTGCCTTTCTTTGGTTTCTTGGAGTCAAATATTCACCAAAAGACATCTGCACAAACCCTATAGCAAGGTGCACACAATAGGAAACTTTCATACTTTTTGCACTTGAGTGGCACCACCTTGCTCTTCATAAAATAATAATTAAATCATAGTGATCTTAAAAAGAAACTGCCTTTCTTCATGGCTTCCTAAATAATCTCATCCTCTTTTATATACTTGTGTTATTTGCTCTATCACCACATTAGACATCCAATTATCTAAATCTCACATTCCACACTGTGTTATGACCTCTACCATCCACCAAATCCAAAACACTATATTTATCAATTACTCTTTGAAAAACTTCTAGAAATCAAGGATTTAAATATCTATATCCTATGCATTTAAGTTGCAAAAGCAAAGTTAGGAAACCTTTCCATAAAGAAGACTCTCTTCACTTGCATTTACCATTGCCAATCAAATGCATATTTTGTCAATAATATATTTGCCTATTTTTTCAATATTGTTTTTTTTAGATTACTTGTCCACCATCTTTTAGTCATCACCATCGTCAAAGCCTTTTCCTAATTAATTGGAGTTGGCTTCTATCATCCCTTACTCATGAGAGCAATATTCATTGTTTTGATTCTTCTTTCTCCTAAACTACTATTGATTGGTTGAATGCAGTTGAACTAAGGGGTTAAGGAGTCTGGTTAAGGAGTATTGATAAGGACCATGTACATGAACTAAAATGGTTAAATATGTAGGACATGGACTATGCATTCTGAAGGTCTAGCAGGATATTTCACACATGCAAGGATTGCATTGAGGGTCTACCAGGATTTTTTTTTATTTTTTTTTCCGATAGCTCAATGGGTAAAGATCCCCTTACCCTCCATTAGGACATTTCTTATCACCCTTGCCCAATGTCAACAATGGACGGTTAGGGTGTGTCACTTATCCCTTGTTCCTATCGGACCACCTATGTGGCATGAACCTTCTTGCATAGCCTTCATTGCGGTTATTTAATACATTTACGTTACTATTCAGCTGTCATTAATATGCGGCGACAAAAAAAAAGTTATTCGTACTAATCGTTATCTTAATCATCAGTAAAACCAGTGGCCCCAATTTAGTCATTGTTAAAATAGAGTCATTGTTCTTCGCCAAATGTTCAATTATGTCAGACTTTGTCAGTTTTACAAATTTCTTATGAGGAATTTTTACTATTTTATTGCCAAAACCGAGTCAACTCACAGTGAAATAATTATCTCGAAAAAATTGTATTAAAATTTTAAGGAAAAAATAAATTCTTTTGGGTAATTGTGGGGAAAACAAACCTCTACACATTTTTTTTAATAGATTAAAGAGATACATTTTGAAAGTGTTAATTTAAGGGTGTCAACAATACAAATAGATACCACGATGTGGTACCTGGGTGTAGGGATGTTACCACTATGAACCAACCCCTTTCCTAGGAAAAAATATCGAGACTTAAAAATAGTCACGAAAGCATATTTCACACCACATTGGTTCAAAAATTATATTAACTCGTGAAATCATAGAGGGAAAATTAAAATAGGTTAAAAAAATAGGTTTATGTGAAAACCTTCAAATCATCTTATATAACTACAAAATAAAAAAAAAAAAATGTTTTTGAGGTCTTTAAACCTAAATCATCTTTTTTCTCAAATGAACAATCTAAAGTGAACCATAATTTAGGCACCAATAGAATATTGCAAAAACTCGAACACATTTAGAGTTTTGCGAAACTCCTCCTTTTCGATACGAAACGGTCCGCTTTTCCGAGTTTTTACCCGCGCAATAAACCGTAATTCTTTCTACTAAGGCAACATTTACTATTTTACTCCTATGCGGAGGTAGGCCACGTCTGACCCGTTGCGCTACACGACAAATTTCAAGATGGACTTTTATTTCATTTTCAGTTCAAAGTGAGGGCATTTTGGTCCGGATGATTAAAGTACGAGGGTAATTTCGTCTAATTTTGTTAACCCATGATAAACCCATTGAAGATCTAGGGTTCGAACCACAGGGTTAACGGAGCCAAAACCGGGAAAAGCCAAAAAGAATCGTCGAAGAAAAGGAAAGCGTAAAACCCAAAAACCATTTTTAAAGCGGTTTTCATCGTGCGAAAGCTGAAGAAGTTGACTGGAACAGGGGGGTAAAAGCGGTTTTAGGGTTAGGGTTTAGATAAAATAGTGGGAGGATAAATCGATATGTCTTTGGATTTTCAATGCCGAAACCGCTTATGGATCTGATTTCGTGGTTTTAAAAAACCAGAAAGCCACCAATTTTCTGCCTCGAAAACAGTCGTGAAGGCTCAAAACCGCTCTTCTGGCTGCTAATGCCGGTTTTTGTGGAGGTGGAAGGCGGTTTTGGTAAAGATCCGTTGAGTGGAGAGAGAAAGTACTGATTTTGAGAGAGAAAGAGAGGGAGGGGGCCTGCTAGAGAGTGAGAGTGAGGACGTGTAATGGGTGGATAAGGCGGATTTAAAGAGTTTTGCTAATAATTTTGCCCTTTTTTTTGGTTTTTGTTTCTTTCTCTCTCTATCTCTACTTTCTCGCTCGTGTTTCTCTCTCTATAAATTTGGATGCAGCCTAGTCAGCAGCATCAGGGCGGCCGTAATCTGGCGCCATGCCGCTCTTCTTCTTCTTCACCATCGCCTTCTTCTTCTTCTTCCGCCGTCTCTGCTACTCATTTAGGATTGGATGCTCTGCAATTTCAGCAGCAACAACAGCCGCAACAAATTGTTCTTCGTCAGGTTGGTTATGAACCCTACTCTTATTTGAAAATTTAGTTATTTTGTCTCTCAGTTTTTTTAGAACACTTGCTTTGGTTTGAATTTTAGTTGTTTTCGTTCTCTCTTGTTTTTTGAACTTTGATTGGGGTTCAAATTGTAGTTGTTTTCTTTCTCCTTGTTCTTTGAAACCGAATTCTGGTGATTTTCTCTCTTTCTAGTTCTTCGAAGTCCATTTGGCTTTGAATACTAGTAAGTTCTCTCTCTAGGTCCGTTTCACCAGCTACTTTATTCAAATATTTTTTCCTCCAGTTCTGTTGGGTTCTGATCACGATTCTTGTGAAATTTGTCGTTTTTATGTTCAATTATGTCTCACATTTTGGTGTTTTCTACCCTTGTTCTATAAATTAGTTTGATTGAATTCTGGTAGTGGTTTGATTTTAATCTCTATGCTGATCATGCTTTCTATTTGCACACTTGATCTCTTTGAAATATGTTTCTGCTTGCGATTTTTGTTTGGTCTCTATTGTGGTCATGTTTCCTCTAGATGGGTTTGAAGCTTACTTGGGTTCTTCCCTTTTTTTCCCCCATTTATTGAAAGATATCAGACTCTTACTCTTTGAAGCAGCTGGGCAGTGTCCAGTTCTCATTGTAGTTCACATTTCTCTCTGTTTGTTTTTTTTTTGCATTAATATTCAGTCTTTACTTTTGGGCTTTATTTTTAATTCGTGCATTTATTTTCTACTTTTGGATCCCAGTTTTTCTTCTTAATTACAATGCAAACCAAATTAGGATAGTTTCGGTCCCTCATGCCTGAGGTGTCTGCACTTTAAGTTCAGCTTTTATGTCCTAACTTAACCTCACTGCTTTGTGGTGTACGTGTCTTGTGTTCTTCACTAAAGAGAAGGATAACAAATACTGTATGCTTTTCAAATTAAATTCTTTTGGTGCTCTTGCTTAAAAAACAAGAAAAAGAAAAGAAAAGAAGGTTGAAATTTGTTCATTTTATGTGCTATACCATGGCTCTGCATGGCCTGGGCTAGAATGACACATCATTTTTTAGATCATTTTTACTTATATGGTATACCGATAGGACTTCCACTATCTATTGAGTACTGACAATGAAGGTCTGTGGAGATTAACATCTATTATGCACATATTTGAATGTGTACTGTTTATCTTGAGTATTTGTTAGCGGAAACCGATGGTGATGTCCCCTAGTGCACTAGATACACGCACCACTTGTGAATGTTATTCTTTCATTTCACTCAGCACAAGTTTTCAGTTTTAAGTGGTGTGCAGAAACAACAATAACTGCTGCTGATGTGTTACTATATATTTTTGGTAGGGGTTTATTTTAAGCCATTTCAGGGTCAAGTGTTACCTGAGTCATTCATGATTCAGTACAAAGGATGGTATTTTGGGGAGAAGTGGTGGTTTGAGCTATAGTTATGGTTAGCAATGGTTGTATGGAACTGAACATTCGTGTGACCGGAGCAATGGAATGGGGATTTATATGCAATATTTGCTCTTAAGTTTTTTTTATGCTACATTTGTGTAGCTTGGTTTAGAAGAAGCCTAGATGACTGCATGTGGTGATGCATGTGTTACCCTTGGTTGATGGCTATGTTATCAATGCAGGACTGGACATGGAGCTGCTTGTGTGTCAATTTGGTTGGCTGGTTGACTTGCTTCTGTAATATTAGTGTTTATTAATAAATGTAACACCAGTATGCACACCAGATCCAATAAAGTTATTGTAGTTGAAAATTCTGAGCCACTAATTGAGAAACATTTAAATATACTTCTGACAAAAACAGTTGATATTTAGAAAGCAATGGAACACATCATTAATATATTTATCTTATCTGACCCCATATAGTTTCGATAAGGCTCAGATGATGATGATGATGATACATATGATTTTTTTTATCGAAGGTTAAGTGATATATAATCACATTGTTTTGCCTAGATTGCTCCGATAATAGCTATTACCCTGTTTTATATTCAAAATGTCCATGTTTGAATTGCCTCGCGCTGTCTATAAGAGTATAACATGCTACACATACGATATTATTTTTGACGTCTTGTCTCTTGCATTAGGTTGGTTCACTTTGTTCTTCTGATTTGGATTGGTTTCTGATCAATCATATGCCCTTACGACCACTTTTGGAAACTTAAACAAAAATTAGTTTTGAGATGTATACATGAAGTGTGACCAAACTTGCTGATTCTTGGTAGGCTGATTGAGTCAGTTGTTTCTAGCTAGCAAGCGTAGATCCTGCCCTCAACCAATTTGGGTATCTAGCCATTAGCTAGTTGCTTATCATAACACATTTGTCTGAACAGGGTTACTCAATCTTGTTTTATCATTTTAAGAGCATTGCTTGGTGCCTTGATGGTGATAAAATGGTATAAACCTTGTGTGAGGGCCCATATGTGTTTGATCTCTTGTTGTGTTTCAGAGTTTAACTTGAATCTGAAGCTTAGATCTTGCATCTCTGGTGGTGTTTTGAATTGAGGAAGCGGTTATTCTTTGGGGTTTTGGTGCATTTATTGTCTCAACTTGGGGGAGAGTCAAACCTCTCATAGGAGAGCTTGTCCTAGCATATTGCCAGTGATCTGGTTAATACGATTTGCTGTCAAAGAGGTACCTTAAAAGCGATAATAGAATTTTTTATGCCAATTTGGGGCTAATGTTGGCGATCTTGGGGATAGATTCTATGCCTGTTCATTGGAAGCTTAGTCATTGTTAGAGTGCTTAGCTGGCTTGGATTTAGTGGTTTAGGTTTGTGGGTTTCTTTTTCTGCCTAAGACCTTATGCTTTTGTCTCAACCTTTTTATGTGTTGTTTTTATTTTTTAAGTGGATTATCATTTTAAAGGTAAGCGTTGAAGTCCTCCCACATTTCACATTTCATGGTGCCTTTTCTATAGGCTTGAAAGCCTGGTCTCTTGTCATTATTTTGGATGGCAACTTGCATATAAATGTTACTTCAACAAAAAAAGAAAAAAAACTTGTAGATGAATCAATGTTCGAAAATTCGCTCGTCTAGCCGCCTAGGCAGAAAAAATTTCAAAAATTCCTAGGTAAAAAAATTTAAAAAATGCATAGGCGTTAGGTAGGACAAATAGGTATCCTGCGTCTAGGCGCTACAGTCTAGGCGCCCGCCTAGGTGCCACCTAGAGACAGTTTGGAAAAAAGGCGGAAAAAACCCTTTGAGAGGGTAAAAAATTATCATGTGAATTTTTTTGTGATTAATTGAATTTTTCCTCATTTGGACGATGAAATTGGGCAGATATGTTATTCTTTTATAAATGGGAAAAGTTTATATAGAGCCGAGGCTCTAAACAATCAAATTTGAGCCTACCTCCAAACTTTCACCGGAAGATGTTGTTTTGATACCCAAATATCCTCAAATTGATCATCTCGACATCAAGATGCATGGGCATGAGTTAAAAATGGATTTCAAGTTTGGGAAATAGTGTATTTTGTAACGTATTTTTGGACCGTCAATTTTCTAGATTTTCATAGAGATGTCGATCTACACTAGTTTTGAAGCTTTAAATCTTATAAATAAAGATGAAAATATATTTTAAGGCTATCACAACGATTTCCAATATTGAAACTGCATTTCTCGACAATATTTGAAGGTAGGCTCTAATTTGATTGTTTAGAGCGTAGGCTCTATACAAACCGCACCCTTTATAAATAGTTGATTCCTTTTTTATACAATGTGTTTATGTTTTGATATTCTATTGTTTTTGTTTTACTTATATTTGATAAATTAATAATTATATGACATCTTAATGAGTTAAGTCTTATGTGAAACTAAGATCTTAAATATTCATAGGTCTTACTATAAAACTAAGACTTACTGTTTTAAAACTAACAGTACCCTGTTCCTAGGTGGGCGCCTAGGCGACCAGGCCCCCAAAACGCCTAGGCGGGCACCTACGCTTTCTTGACCATTGAGATGAATGTCTTAAAGTCGTTTTTTTTCCCTTGATTGACTTCAAATAAGACCATTTCACAATAGATGAAATTCATGATGATAACTCTCTTCGAATATAAAAGATGTCTCCCCATTTTCCGCATTCATTGAAGTGGAGGTTATGAAGGCAATGAATAGTTGTCATTTGTGATCACATTTTTTTTTTGAAAGTGTTAACTGTCATTTGTGATCACATTATTTTTCCTCTCAAAAAAGAAATCATGTAGGATAACATGATTAAGAGTCTCGAGGTCTTTGCTGTCCCCAAGGTGTAGTTTTAGAAGCCTTGGAAGTTCAATCACCAAGTAATGGATTGCTACTTTGTGAAAAATTACAACACCTTTATTTTACAATTAACGGTAGCTATTTTAAATATGTTGGCTTACCTAGCACTCTCATGAACTTGTTGGAATCTGTTTTCTAGCTATTTGTTGGCGAGGTGGCCAACCATTATCCCTGCTATATATGCTATGCTCGAATCCTGTTTGAGATCAACGTACAAATAAAGTTATGCTAATGTTTGTTCTTCCAAATTGGATGTAACTTAGGATGGTTTTGGAGCTTTTCCCTGAATTTAAGTTGGCTTTGAGCAAAGCATTTTTTTTTTTTTTGAGAATAGCAAGGCACTAAATTTGTACGTTGGCGTCTAATACGTTAATTACACAATAAAGAGGGACTTCGAATACAGTGATTCTTAGGTGATCTATGTCAGTTATTTCTAGGTCAACTGAATTAGTTTTATTTTTGTGTGAAATTGAGTGAGTTTTGTTATTTGTAGATTTTAAATTCATCCATTAGTGTAAATCTATCATAACTTCTGCATGCTATGTGTTTCCTCTCCTTCTCATGGCTCCAATGCTGAATTTTGTTTGTCGCCCTTGAGGACCGTGAGACTGTCTGTTATGGTCTTTCTTTCATGGTAGATATGTCAACTGTTGATGGATCAGATGTCATTCTTCTTAATTCCTGTATGATACAGTTTTTGTTCGAAAGATGCACTACATTTGCTTCATCAAAATGTTGTTTGTTTCTTGTGCCCTTACGTACTGTAATTTCTGTTTGTTCTTTGTTTTTTCGTCCTGTACATTTGTATTATTTTCAAAGAGTGACTATTTACTAGTGTTTTCACGATCTTGCAGTCACTACAACAGCAGCTTAGAAAACCGGAAGATGAGGCCACCCTTCTAGCTTATCAGGCAGGTGGGCTCCATGGAGCGTTGGGTGGAAGCAGCTTTTCCTCATCTTCTGCTCCAATGGATTTCTCCCAACAACAAAGGAAATTTGTGGATGCATCTCAGCATCAAGGTGCCTCCCAGGCCCGCGACGATAGCCAGTTCAAAGGTCAACTATTGGAACAGAACCTGCCCAACCAGATTTATCCAGCTTATCTCCAATATGTTGCTTTCCAGGCTGCTCAGCAAAAGGCCCATGGAAATATGCAGTCGCAACAAAATAAATCAGGTGCTGTTGGTCTCTCTGGTAAGGAGCAAGAAATGCGTGCGAACAATTTGAAAATGCAAGAGCTCATGTCTATTCAGGCTGCCAACCAAACACATGCATCGACATTTAAGAAGCCAGTTGAGCATTTTGCTCATAGTGATAATAAGCAGATGGAGCATGGTCAGCCAAGTTCTGACCAGAGGAATGATTTTAAGCCCCCCCAACCTGTAATTGGACAGTTGGGAAACATTGTAAGACCAGTGCAAGGACCAACATCTCAACCCAACGTGCAAAACATGGCAAACAACCAGCTTGTCATGATGCAGGCTATGCAGGCTTGGGCATTGGAGCATAATATTGATCTTTCGGCTCCGGGCAATGCCCATCTTATCACTCAGTTGTTACCACTCTGGCAATCTAAGTTGGCTCCCTCACAGAAGCCGAAGGAAAGCAACAGTGCCCAACATCCGTCACGCTTGGCTTCTTCAAAGCAGCAAGTTGGGTCATCTTCACATGATTATTCAAATGTTGGTAGTGAAAACTCAAATTCAGCCCATGGGAATTCTTTGACTGAAGCATCTGGTTTGGTGGGCTCGTCTTCGAAAACGAGGCATTCACTTCCTTTAGGGCCTTTTCCGTCTGGTGGGGTTAATGCTAATAACATTCAAATGCAGCAGGCCTCTGGTCAAGGGCAACAGAATCAAGTAGAGAGGAATACCAGGCATCCATCTGGTGTTGGAAGTGGCTTGCAGGGCATGCATCCACCTCAGTCGAGTGCAAATATGGGTCAAAACACAGAGCAGGCACTCCCTAAGGCCTCATTTGCAGCTCCTGAACCCGTACAAATGCAGTATTACAGACAGTCGCAGCAGTTGAATCGCAATTCCTCTCAGCCCTCAGTTTCAAATGAGGGTTTGAATGCTCAATTTCATCCGCAGGTTGCACCCCTAGCTCCTCAGCAGCGATTTGGGTTCACAAAGGACCAACTCCATGTTTTGAAAGCCCAAATACTTGCATTCAGGCGTTTGAAGGTATTAATCTCAACTTACAATACTGGTTATGGTGATTACATTCTTGTTCTATTTCTTCTGCTGTCTCTTTACCAGCTTAAGCACGACACCTGTCAACCCCATCGCTAGAAATTCAATATTTTAAATTATGTACAGTTCATCTATCCTCTTACTGTATGTTGCAGGTCGTGTGGCTTGGAGCACCAAATGACTAATATGCTCTTATGCGTTGGAATTTCTAGTTTCTCAAACCATAAATTTGCAAGGCCTTCAGGCACAAGTTGCACTGACTTTTAGGTTTTCTTTTATATTATAGAGATATACTTAGAATTTTTTTTTAAAACATAAAAAATGGCTAAAAGATCTTGAGTCTCTCAACCACTCAGGTCAGTTACTTGGATGCCTGTTGGCACCTGAATTTTGTTTTTTGCTAATTTATAATTTTCACATTTGTGGAGTGAGGGGCAAATCATGACTGTCCTCCTGCTACATTACATGTGATGTGTGGTGGTCAATTACCTCTTGCATTCTATCAGATGTTTGAGTTCTTGAAGATGGGTTTAACATGTGTTTCGTGCAAAAATCTTGCTAATACCCATTGTTTTTCTAAATGATTTTTCTTCTTTGTTTTACATCCAATAGGGCATTGGGCCATTTAACATTTTTAATCTTCATACTAATATTTTCCATTTCTTACAGCGTGGGGAAGGTCATCTACCTCAAGAAGTTCTTCAGTCAATTGCTCCACCGCCGCTAAATCCACAGCAGGTTGTGCGTATTTCCCCATTAGGTGCACAGGAGAGGAGCACAGGAAGGAGTGTAGAGGAGCATCCAAAACATGTGGAGACCAATGACAAGGCTCCACATATTATGACTTCAACCAAAGGCCAGGGTCTGATGAAAGAGGAATCCTCAGTCATGGAAGAAAAAATGCCCATGAGGACTGCTTTGCCAGGAATTACTAGTGGAACAGCTAAGGACTCGATGGAGAATGGGTCTGTGACAAAAGAAGAGCAAAGCAGTGCCGCTCGTGTTAAATCTGAGCACGAATTCGAACATGGAAGCCAGAGAGTCTCGGTTAAAGGTGAGTTACCTACTGATAGAGGAAGGCTTATCCAATCACAAAGTGTCCCTTCTGATGCTTCACAAGTTAAGAAGCTCGCCTCTGCTGGTACTACACCGATACCCAAGGATGCTAATGCTCCTAGAAAATACTATGGACCACTATTTGACTTCCCTTTCTTTAGTAAGAAGCATGAAGCCATTCCCTCGCCCATACTTGGAAACAACATGGGTCCATTATCCATGGGTTATGATGTAAAGGATATACTGCTTGAGGAGGGGGTTGACGTGCTTAAGAAGAAAAGAACTGAGAATATGAAAAAAATTGAGTGTTTACTTGCTGTAAATTTAGAAAGGAAACGCATACGACCCGATCTGGTTCTGAAATTACAAATTGAAGAAAGAAAGCTTCGTCTTTTGGATCTTCAGGCACGCGTAAGGGACGAAGTTGACCAGCAACAGCAGGAGATAATGGCGATGGGTGACCGGCCATATCGAAAGTTTATGCGTCAGTGTGAACGCCAGCGACTGGAGCTTGCTAGGCAAGTGCAAATTTCGCAAAAGGTCATAAGAGAAAAGCAACTGAAATCTGTTTTTCAGTGGCGCAAAAAGCTTCTCGAGGCTCACTGGGCTATACGGGATGCACGGACTGCTCGAAATAGGGGAGTTGCTAAGTATCACGAAAGAATGTTAAAGGAATTCTCAAAGAGAAAAGATTGGGATCGGAATAAGAGAATGGAAGCTTTGAAAAACAATGATGTTGATAGATACAGAGAGATGTTATTGGAACAACAGACAAACATACCTGGGGATGCTGCACAAAGATATGCTGTTCTATCATCATTTTTGTCTCAGACTGAAGATTATCTTCATAAGCTGGGGGGTAAAATTACAGCTGTTAAGAATAACCAAGAGGTGGAAGAGGCAGCACTTGCTGCTGCTGCAGCTGCCCGATCTCATGTATGCAATATTTGTTGGAGTTTGATGTGACCTTATGCATTTAGATAATTTATTTGATAGATATTTACAGGATTGGACGTTTCTTTCACTTAATTGCTTTTAAGGTGATCTATTGTTGTTATTTTTTTAGGGTCTCTCAGAGGAAGAAGTCAAGGCAGCAGCAGCTTGTGCTGGTGAGGAAGTGATGATAAGGAATAGGTTCTCTGAAATGAATGCTCCAAGGGACAGCTCATCTGTTAACAAGTATTTTTATCTCTTTCTGAAAGCTCTCCCGCTGATGCTGTTTGCTATTTTCATAAATTTATGTAGCATTTTGAAAATGCTTTAATGCAGTATTTGTGAACTTTTTTCAAGAAGAAGCCTTATTCATTTCTTGCCTGAATATTTACTTATTGGAAATGGAAAATGAAATAGTGCTACTTTTGCTTATGAAGCATTTGTGAATGTGGTATTTTTACTGTTTGAGGCTAGTTCGCTTATTTGGTCTGTTTATTTTTGAGAAACAAATGGGATTATGTGATGCATAATTCAAATATAAATTTTTTACTAGGTATTATAACTTGGCACATGCTGTGAATGAGCGGGTCATAAGGCAGCCCTCCATGCTGCGGGCTGGAACTCTCCGTGACTATCAGCTTGTAGGTCGCAACTCAGCTGAAGTTTTTCACTCAATTTCTTATTCTGCCTATTGTCTTTGTTGATATTAGTGATTTGTAAGTTCTGAGATCTGATTTTCTGCTACTGCTACTGACAATTTGCTTAATTATCCATTTGCAGGTTGGGTTGCAGTGGATGCTTTCTTTATATAACAATAAATTAAATGGGATTCTAGCTGATGAGATGGGTCTTGGCAAGACTGTACAGGTATCATATGTTCATTGCTGTTCATCAACTCTTTTGTGATCTGTAAAGTAGTTGATTGAATTGGACAAAACTTGGTTCACTTCTGTGTATGGCTTGTGCATGTGAACAGAAAATCCTCAGTTTTTCAGGTTCATAGGAAAGGATGATTATGATTGTGCTTAGAAATGTGTTAAAAAGTTGTACATGAGGTTTTCTAATCTCTTTTGGCAAATTAAATGTTCTATCTGCTATTGGAGCATGGAATGTGTCATCTGAATGTGAGTGTGACGAGTTTGTGTTTATGCATACCCTTGCATGGTGTCTATGTATGTGTATATTAATCTATATATGGTGTCTATGTATATATGTATTCCTTATAGTTCTCTGATATTTCTCTCTGTTACTATATATAATAATGTCACTATATGTGGAACTAAAAAGGTTGTACATGAGGTTTTCTAATCTTTTTTGTCAAATTCAATGTTCTATCTGCTATTTGGAGCATAGAATGTGTCATGTGAATGTGAGTGCAACGAGTTTGTGTTTACACTTACCCTTGCATGGTGTCTATGTATGTATAGTGATCTATATATTGTCATTTTACCATATTCCTTATAATTCTATCTGTTACTATATATAAAAATGTCACTATACATGGACTTCTTTGTTTTCCGAGTTTCGGGCTTTTCATCTTGTTTACCCTTGTCCTGAGTGAACTCTGCAGTCTACCCTTCATACATTAGTAATGTATCATCTAACTTGAATTTGGTTGTAATCCTCTTTGCGTCCAGCCACATGGTGTCGTGCTTACCTGGAAGAAGAGTTGATACATTCTAGGCTTTTCTCAGCATCCATTCCATCTTTCATTGCTTCTGTCAACTAAGTGCGGGTAAAAATTGTTCATTGGTTAGAATCACTTTGAGGAAATAGAAGCAAGGATTACATGTCCATGTTTATTTCTTAAAAGGCTGTCATATGGTTTTCTAATGATGATGGAGTTGTTGTAAGGAAACACAAATGAAACAAATCCGGGTCTTTTGATGATTAAGAGGTAGAGTGGAACTTTACAAATCGAACGTGGATCCTAATACTTCATTTGGAATGAGCCTGTTGCAATGGATGTTGATCCATTAACTTTACATCTTGAGTTTGGGGTGGGGGGGGGGGAGGGGAGGGGGGGGTTCATTCTGTAATTCTTCCTAAGCATTGGCCTTTTCCTTTACGATCTTGATTTTCAATTCATCGTTTCTGCTCCTATTATTACTAGACTTGCATTCCATCAAGGTATGCATGTATATATATATAAATAGAAATAAATTTAGAATAGAAATATATAGAAATTACAAGCTATAAAAAATGATCGTTCTTAATATTCATTCTAAAGAAAATAAAACTTTTTTAATCTGGCTAATTCTAAAACCCTTTGATTCTGAAGTATCCCTCAAAAGTTCTAACTTTATGTTTATACTGTCTCTAGTCTCATTAATCCAAGTTATGTAATCCGCAACAATATGCACCACGTGACCTCATCCTGTTGATGCCCAGTTAATTCATCCATAACCAAAGCAAAGAGATATGGGCTCAACGGTGACCCCTAATTTAGGAAGGGCCCACTATTATTGGAATCTCACTTGTCTCTCCACTAGTTATCCTCATGGTAGTTAGCATTCTGTCGTGCATATCTCTCACCATGTCAATATGTCATTTAGAGACTCCTTTTTTTCCCGACACCCACCAAATTAACGCTTTAGGTAATTCCTATGCTTTCTCTGAATCAATAAAGACGTTGTGAGGTATTTTTTTTTCTCACTAAACTTCTCAATTAATTGTCTAATTAGGAAAATGGTCTCGATGGTTAACCTCCTTAGTAATTTTCTGATACACTTGTTTCATGTCTTAGTCATTGTTGAATCTCTCTCTTCCATAGTTTCTTAGTGTAGCTGATATGTTTGATCCCTTGAAAGTTCGTGCTACTCTGTATGTCTCCTTTATTCTTATAAAGTACGTGTTCTCCAGCTGCTATCAAAATATAGTTTCCAAATGTAAGGGATTCCTAGCAAACATGATGAAGCTTGACATTATCTTGTACGTTGTTCCCTGGGGATTCCTTGTGAACAAGGAAGGCACAACATATCACACCTCTCACATCCATTCTTTAAACCTCTCGTTGCTTGAGAGGACACCACTCTTTATTACTCAACAATAGAATGCTCTGTAATTGTTTTTAATTGAAAATTCAAGGAACTAGAAATGGTTTTCCAGAAAAAAGAGAGGAATTAGAAGTTGTTTTGTTTCTCTTACAGATTTAAGAGTGTGCTTTTATGTAGTGTGAGCGTGCTTTTATGAAACCAGATTATGTTTTTGACTTTGATATGCACGGAAACTAAATTTTGTAGAACTTGCTTATATAAGTATAACAGGTTGTTCCAACGAGTTACCTGACCATGCAGGTTATGGCATTGATGGCTTATTTGATGGAGTTCAAGGGGAACTATGGGCCTCATCTTATAATAGTTCCTAATGCTGTTTTGGTGAATTGGAAGGTGATTTATTTATTTGCTTCAAATGGGGGTTGGCAGCTTTTTTGTTTTCATTTTTTTTTAATTTACAAAAATTTCATTGCTTACTTTTGTCCATCTCCTTCAGAGTGAGCTTCACAGTTGGTTGCCTTCAGTATCTTGCATTTATTATGTTGGTGGGAAAGAACAACGGATGAAGTTGTATACCCAGGTAGGTGCCTGCTCTCTCTCTCTCTATTATTGTAGGTGGCCTGTTCCTTATTTTATTACCCATTAAATTGTGTTTTTCATGGAAGTTTTGGGCATACATGATTTGGAACTTAAGCAGGTTGTATTAACAAATTAATATGATCTTCGTGGAAATTTTTGGCACATCTAATCAGCCTTTTAAATTAGCAGTTCTTTTCTGGTGAAGAATGTCCTTTTTCTTTTTCTTGATGAATTCAGAACCTCGTTCCATCATTATTCAATAGTAAATGAGAAAAGCTAATCTTTCCTCATGAATTAGAACTGTTCATGCAATAACTGGCCTCTGGTAACATATTGGACCTGGAAATTACCGTGTTGGTACCAGTGATTTAAAAATTGCCGATCTATGATGGTAATGTTGGGCACCGTCCCTATTCCGGGTTCGAATCCGGTGACTTTGCCTGTTATGATGACATTGATACACAACACAGTTCATGCATGGTAATAGAGCATAAAAAGAGGAAGGTGCATGACCTATCATGTCAATCCAAATAGATAAGGCAATGCCTTTTTTACCCATTTCGTTCCTTGAAATAAATTACTAAATACAAACGCACACATGCAGCCAATCTTGGACTACATGAGCATAGATAGTACCACATGGAAAAGAAAATTTTAAAACGAAAGAGTAGCTACATGCTAATTTATTCATGATTCTTGTTGTTTTCAGTACATTAAAAGGAATGAGTGGAGAAATCATCTGTCATGTGGAAAAAATCTATGAATCTATGCTTTTTAATTTGTTATTTGTTGAATTATGAAAAAGGAATTTATGCAAATTTTCTCCTCTTTTTTATTTTTATTTTTATTTCTCTGGATTACTGATCGCCCATCCGGCCGATCTGAATTGGAATTGGTGGTGGGTGATCCACGTCACCAATCCGTGTTCTAAAACAGTCGTTGGTAAAGATAGTTGGGTACATATGAGACAATTTTTACTGAGGGGAGCATGAGGTGTTGTTTTTTTTATCTTGTAGGAAGTGATGCTCTTTTGATTATAAAACGGCCTTCAGATGAATGTCAATTGCACTCATAATGTATTTCATTTTATTGAAGGGGGTTTTACTGATTTTATGTGGATTTTAGCAATGTCTCGCTTGGATCTAAGTCAAACTGTTCATTACATTGCTTCATGTTAAGTGCATCACCATCAGTGGGATGGATTCAATGGGTCTTGATTATTTGAAACATTTTTAGAAGGAGAATTCGTGAGTAGCTTTTGATCAATTGGAGATTTTTAGGAGAAAATGCTCTAGGGAAGGAAGGGGCCTTGATTTCCTTGGAACTTGCATAATCCAACATCCAAGTAGTTTGCCCAGCAGAACTTGTGGAGCTCGTGAGAAACACATCTTTCCTGTCTTAGACGCTCCCTTATCTGCTCCCCATATAGGGTCGTCCCTAATTCTATAATTTTATTTGTTTCAGGATATCTGATGATGCGAGATTGTGAGTCCTTAAATTTGGGATTGAGGGCCATTGTGGAATAATTTTTGTTACCCATTTATTGCATTATGAGTGGTTGAATCGATATGTATTCTGATTGGAGCCTGTTGGATTGAATGGTACTCCTTGGAAAAGTTGGATTGCTGGGAAATTTGATTATTATGCCCCTGCTGTCCTCTGCTTATCATTTTTTGGGTGTGGCTAGCATGATGGTGTCGAATGGGCATCACTAATGTAGACAAACAAGGTTAGGTGGAAATACAAGATGAATATCTTGTGTAGTCTAGTTTTGGTTCAATGCTTGTGTTCTACCCAGGTGCATGCATGCGATCTTCAGAACGGGTGACAACATGATACCTGCATACTTGGGAAGAGATATCTTGTGTAAAGTGATTGGAAAAGGACTTGGATCTGGATATTTGATGTATGCAAATCACAAATTATTAAATAACCAAATTATGGTCCGCTACATATGCCATGCATACCGTGACTTAAAACACAAAAACATTATTTTTTGCTTGTTAAAGTTATTCAAAATATTTTTAACAAGTCTTTTTGTGGTGCTAATTCTGATTTGGTTGGTATCAGTTTCTTCAAGTCCATCTTCCCATATTTTTGTATTGTGCTTCTACATTTTATCATCTTCATGCGTTCCATGCTGAAATCTTCTTTTTCTTGGTATTTGTTTTTCAGGAGGTGTGTGCAATGAAATTTAATGCACTTATCACGACTTATGAATTCATAATGCGCGACCGTTCAAAACTTTCAAAAATTGATTGGAAGTATGTCATAATCGATGAAGCTCAGCGTATGAAAGATAGAGAATCACGCTTGGCTCGTGATCTTGATAGGTTCCGTTGCCAGAGGAGGCTTCTTTTAACTGGGACACCCTTACAGGTTGGTACTAAATAGACTGGCTTGGTTTTTAATATTGTGCATTTTTATACAAACTAGAATCTAGTGCTCTCCTATGTGCACTATTGATATATATATATATATATATATAGTGGAGATTCTTTAACTCTATTTTGTTAGGAGTTTTCAGTGTAATCTGTACACCAGATGTTTTGATAGAGACTTGAATGGCCATTTATAATCTTGATGCCTGGGACTAAGGTTTTAGTGTCTCTTGTTGTGTAAATCAAAGGTCGGCTTTGCTTGTTTAATGTCCATTTATATTCTTAGATGTTAATTCATGTTCTTCAGTATGTATATTAATGGTGTGGTTATTGTGTTGGCCAGAACTGATAATTCTAAAGTTCTAGAGAGTGACAATATAAATCTTGAAGGAAATTTTTGGCTATCATGTTGCTTTGGTAATCTCTACTTATAGCGGATTGATTGGATTTGATCATCGTTATCAAGATGGGACCGAACCAGCCCATCGATTGGATGGACTGTTGACAAGTGCTATGGCCAGTTTGGTCCAAAGCAAAAGAAATGGGCTCATCAAAACCAAACAAATCAATGTTTGACTAATTTTGACTGGTCAATTTGGCCGGTTTTGACTGGCAAAACGAGTTTGCACATCCTTTTTTTTTGTATAATTGCATATTTTAATCTATTCTTTATAATTTATGATATTTTTAATCTATTCTTTATAATTTATCTCAAATATTTTTTAAATTGGGTCCAACTAGTTCGACCTGTGGTCAGACTGGTTTTGACTGGATTAGACCTTCAATTGCATGTCCAATTCTGATAACACAGGGTGCTATATTTATCCTCCCTCCATACTAAAGAAATACATTCTATTTACACTTTTCTGACCTGAAGTGTGTTCTTGTTCATCTGTTACAGAATGATTTGCAAGAGCTGTGGTCACTACTAAACTTGCTTCTTCCAGAAGTATTTGATAACTGCAAAGCATTTCACGACTGGTTTGCAAAGCCTTTCCAAAAAGATAACCCTTCTTCACAAAATGCAGAGGATGATTGGCTCGAGACTGAGAAGAAGGTGATTATCATTCATCGGCTTCATCAAATCTTAGAGCCTTTCATGCTTCGGCGACGTGTTGAAGATGTGGAAGGCTCACTTCCACCAAAGGTGCTTTCGTTTTCTTTTTTTCTTTTTAAAGAACCAAAAGTATTTCGATTAGGAGCATATAACAGAGGATAAGGAATTGTGCCCTTGATATTGATTATTTTTTGGATCTAAATGCTATGTACATTTGCTTTTGATACAGGTTTCAATTGTTTTGAGGTGTAAAATGTCTGCTGTTCAAGGTGCCATATATGACTGGGTTAAAGCCACTGGTAGCATCCGGCTTGAGCCTCAGGCTGAGTTAAAGAGGGTTGCTGGGAATCCCAATCGCCAAGTTAGGGCATACGTGCCATTGCAGAACAGATGTATGGAACTGCGCAAAGTTTGCAATCACCCCCTGCTTAACTATCCATACTTGGCTGGATATTCAAAAGAGTATATTGTGAGATCTTGTGGGAAGCTCTGGATCCTTGATAGGATTCTCATCAAGCTCCACAGAACAGGGCATCGGGTGCTGCTTTTTAGCACTATGACAAAGCTTCTTGATATCTTAGAAGAGTACCTCCAATGGAGGGGGCTTGTTTATAGGCGAATCGATGGCACGACGAGTCTCGAAGATAGAGAGTCTGCCATTGTGGAGTTCAATAGCCCTGGTTCGAGGTGTTTTATCTTTCTGCTCAGTATTCGTGCGGCTGGTCGAGGCTTGAATCTTCAATCTGCAGACACTGTAGTAATTTATGACCCTGATCCAAATCCCAAAAATGAGGAGCAAGCAGTGGCCAGAGCTCATCGGATAGGGCAGAAGCGGGCGGTAAAAGTTATATATATGGAAGCAGTTGCAGATACAATATCAAGCTATCAGAAAGAAGATGAATTGAGAAATGGGGGAACAGTTGATTTGGAGGATGAGCTTGCTGGTAAAGACCGATATATGGGTTCCATTGAAAGTCTTGTCCGAAATAATATTCAGCAATACAAGATTGATATGGCTGATGAGGTCATAAATGCTGGCCGTTTTGATCAAAGGACAACTCAGGAAGAACGGCGCATGACTTTGGAGACACTATTACATGATGAGGAAAGGTACCAAGAAACTGTTCATGATGTTCCTTCCCTGCAAGAGGTAAATCGAATGATTGCAAGAAGTGAAGAAGAAGTTGAATTGTTTGATCAAATGGATGAAGAATTGGACTGGACAGAGGAAATGATACGGTATGATGAAATTCCTAAGTGGCTCCGAGCTGGGTCTAGAGAAGTTAATGCTGCTGTATCTGCTTTGTCTAAGAAGGCATCTAAAAGTGGACTGATTGGCCATATTGGGTTATATTCTGAGGAGGAAAAATTAGCCGCTGCATCTCCTAGTAAAATTGAGAAGAAAAGGGGTCGCCCAAAGGGCTCGTCTACTATAAAAAAGCTCTCAACGTCTCAGGATTTGGACACTGGGATGAGTAATGGAGAGATTGGGGAAGATGTGGAAGCGAGTTCAGATGAAAGGGCGTCTTTCATGCAGGAAGAAGAGGGAGAAATTGGGGACTATGAGGATGAGGGGTTCGACCGATCTGGTTCTGCAATACCTTACAATAAGGATCCATCTGAGGAGGAGGGACAAAATGAAAGTAGCAGAGGTGGTTATGGGTTTTCCAAGTCAATGGATGTGACCAGGAATGAAGAAGGTATGGAGGAGGGTGTCTCTTCTGGATCTTCTTCTGAAAATCGCAGGGTAAATGGAGTTGCAACCTCCACATTAACTTCTCAGAAGTTTGGGTCCCTATCCGCGTTGGATGCTAGACCTGGTTCAGTTTCAAAAAGGATGGTATGTACCTCTCTTAATTTGTGTTGCTTAATTGATTTACTTAATTTTCTCTCACTTTGTCTTTATCTTACTTTTTTGGCAATCTATAGCAGTCAGAGGAGTTAGAGGAAGGAGAAATTGTAGCATCCGGTGATTCCCATATGGATCTTCAACAGTCTGGAAGTTGGATTCATGAACGTGATGATGGTGAAGATGAGCAGGTTTTGCAGCCAAAAATTAAAAGGAAGCGTAGTATTCGCATTCGTAGATCTACTTCTGAAAAGACGGAGGATAGGTATAGCAATGAAAAGGTTTCCCACCAGCATGGAAATTCAAATCAATTTGCAAATAAAGTGTCTGTTGATTATGGGATGCAACAGAGGCAAACTTTAGAACTTGAAACATACACAGAACCAGTATCCGGTAGGCAAGACCCCAGTGACCCAAGTTCTAGACAAAGGCGAAATCTTCCTCCAAGACGAGGAACTGATTCTCCAAAATTGCATGGCACGCCAAAACAGAGCAGAGTAAATGAGTTGCTTGAGCATGTGGGTGATGGCATAGAATATTCAAGAGAAAGTTCCGATAGTAAATCTCTACGTATGACTGGTCCTGTCTTTGGCTCTGGACAGACATCTGATAATTTAAGGAAAAAGGTATGCCCTTCCCGTATTTAAGCTTATGACCTGGATTTTGTGTATCTATTGGTGTTTTGGCTGTAAAACCGCTACAAATGGATTTTGGAAATGCTATTTCTAGAAGTTTGAGAGATGTAATTTGGCGGTTTGCCATTGTGTTTTTCAGAGTAGCAATGCACATTATGTATGATATGTTGGATCATACCTGCTGTCCATCTCAACGACTGAGTATGGAGTTGATCTAATACTACACTCATTGCACTCCTAGTGTTTAACCTTATTTTTAATCGGACCCGGTTTCTATGTGGCCAAGCCCGCATATGTAGAAATGCGGGCCTATTAATAAATCCATTTTTGAGATTGAGTTTTGGACTTAATTTTTAAGGACATGTAATCTCTAACATGGAGATCATGAATATGAAAAAATAAGTAAATTTTTAAAATTAGAAATAATAATTCTAGTAAGAAAACATTTGGATTGTTAGTTTCCATTCTTTTTAGATGGAACACCTACTTGCATCCATCTTTAAGGTGGATGCTTTTCACTTTTTGGACCGCATATGTAGGTCATGCGGTCCAGCCCGCATGAAACAATTTCCTTTTTATACACTTCTAAGTTATTTTTGCCCTTTTTACGTGAGAGTCATGCATGTACATGAGTTTGTGGTTAGCAACTTTCACGTCTAAAGTATCCCTCCTCTTCTTTATAAATAGAACAGTTAAAGCAGTTTCGAAATAAAAAACTATCACGTCTGAAGTGTCATCCAAAGAAAAAAAGAAAAAGAAAAATCACGTTTAAAGTTTTCTTGCCACACTTAGTGTGTCGAATTAAATATAAAAAAATGGGTTGGTTTCATTAACGGATGATAGATAGTGAGCTCGAGGGTGAGAAGTCTCTGAGAGAGCAGATATTACCGTTGGAAAGTTACAAATTCTATCATAATTAGCCTATTTTCTAATTCAAGTGTTTTGTTAATCATTCTCCTTCCCTCTCTCTAGTCCCCTATTTGTCTTGTTTATCCTCTATCCGCGCTTCCCCTCGAATTTTGTTTGACATAGGGTGATGGGACTGACAGATATGCCCAGCATAATACTCTCTCTCTCTCTCTCTCTCTCTATCTATTTGTGTGGGGGTGTTTGTGTGTGCGTGCGCACATGTTTGTGATGTGGCCTGAACTCTATAATCCTTCCCCTTCCCTTCCCCTCTCTGCTTAGAACTTTGTGGAATCGAAAACATCAAGCCATGCTTAGAACCACTGAAAATATGTATGGGAAGATGATGAGGATCTTGCTTTCTTTTGCTTGTTTTACTTCATCAAACATGTCCATCAGTGTAACGAAATGACAACAAAGCGCTGGCAATAGTTTATTGACCTGCTTATTACTGCATCTGGCTCTCTCATTTACAAAATTTTATTTGTAGTTTTTCTTTCTCTATGACGTTAAATAACGTTCCAAATTTCTTTTTTTTCACCCAGTGCAAGCATGTGCTCAGCAAGCTTCAAAGGGCCATAGATAAAGATGGGCATCAACTAGTACCAATATTAACTGATTTTTGGAAGAGAAGCGAGAATGCTGGAGGCGTGAGAGGCATAAATATGGGTAATAATCCATTGGATTTACGAGCCATCGATCAGCGGGTTGATAGAGGGGACTATAGTAGCGGGACCGACTTAGCAGCTGACATACAGTTAATGTTGAAAAATGCCACCCATTATTGCGGGTATTCAGCTGAGGTAATTAGCCCAAATTTCTCCTTTTAGTACATGCTATAAAATATCACCTTTGGTTTCTTTCCTCTTATGTTTAATGGTCTGTATCTACATTGAATGATCTGTATCTACATAGTATCGCGTGTGCCTTGGTTATTATTATTAGGTGAAAAAGATAGAACAAGGAAATAAGAATGGAAAACAGTTACAAAAAATAATGAAGTAAATGGAGGATCGAAGCTGAGGGAACATTAGGATTTTAAAACCATACAAATGATAAAAATATAAAAATGAAAAAGGACAAACCAAAACAAAGAAATAAGAAAACAAAAAAGGGATGATAAGTCAGATATTTGGAATAACCCATATTTTCCCATTGCGTGTTATTTAATCCATTTCTTTAAGACTTGAATATCTTTTTTGATCCTTAACTTTGCTTAGTTTTTATGTTATAAGAAACCAAATAAGATAGTAACAAACTCAAAGTAACTGACTTAACCCAAAATAAGAAAGAAAGAAAGAGAAAACGTGCGTAACTTTATTGTTACTTCTCTGTCTTTTGCTCAATGAAATATAATGGTTTGTTCATAGCTTACATTACACTATGCTAATGGTTAACTTAGGATTGTACTCCAAACGATATTTTCCCATAGCGTGTTCATTATTTCATTTATTTCGGACTTGAATATCTCTTTTGATCCTTAACTTTGCTTAGTTTTTATGTTATAAGAAATCAAATGAGATAGTAATAACTTATAGTAACTAAACCCAAAATATGAAAGAAAGAAAGAGAAAACATGTGTAACTTTATTGTTGCTTCTCTGTCTTTTGATCAATGAAATATTAATGGTTCGTTTTGTCTTTTGATGAATGAAATATTAATGGTTTGTTCATATCCTACATTACACTATTCTAATAGTTAATTTATGATTGTACTCCAAAATTACCGACAAAAATGGGCTTGTGTATTGTAGAACTTTCTAGTAGTCAGTTGTCATTTTGCCTGTGGCAATGTTGAAATGGTTGAGATTTCGGCATGCTTGAGATCTATTATCAAATCAGTTGAGATTTAGTAGTTAAAGATGGGAAAGGATCTTGTGGGAGCGGATCCTACAGAATGATATAGGATTCAATCTCCATCATTGGATCGCTACCATGAGCGGTGTTGAAGATCTTTAGCTTCACCTGACAGGCAATAGGTCCTATTTGAATCTTGAAGGACCCGCTCCTTCAACATATGCCTGGCATAAATTGTCCTGACTTTTGATAGCCATTTGTCTCCAGGTTCGCTCTGATGCCAGGAAGCTGCAATCCCTAGCATTCGAATGCCTGAAGGTTGTGTTTCCTGAAACTGATTTGCGAGAGGCGAAAACCCTAGGTTCATTCACGGGGCCCACATCGACCCTGTCCCCGAGAAACCCAAGCCAAAATAACCGACCATTCAAACCAGTCGATGACTCTGACCAGGACCATGTGGACCTGGTCCCCACCACTCGCCATCATCGTGGGTCCCACCCCTCTGAAGATGGGCCCAAGGACCCTCGGTCCCATCCATCTAGGCCCAATGAGCCAAGGGGCCCACGTGATGATGTGGCATCACTGACGCATCCGGGCGACCTTGTTATATGCAAGAAGAAGAGGAAAGATAGGGATAAGGGGGCTGTTAAGGTGCGTGGGGTGCAGGACACTTGTCAACCATTGATGGGGCAAGCGGTAAGGGAGAATACCATGTCCCAGAATCAGAGGCAGCCACATGGATGGCTCCAATTGGGTAACAAGGCTGGTGGCGGGACAAGCAGTGGTGGGGTGAATGAGTTACAGTGGGCAAAACCTGTAAAGAGATTGAGGACAGATACTGGTAAAAGGAGGCCAAGCCATATTTGATTTGATGTGTATATATGATGATAATTTGGGCTCAATTTTACTCTTTTTATTTGGTGCCTTTCAATATCTTCATTTTCATTTTCTGGGCATTTTTTAATTTTTCTTTTGTATGGGGTTCACATTTCTCAGATGTAATTGTAGTTCAGGTATGATAATGGGTTATGGCGGTAGCTACATGTGCATAAAATCTAATGTATTCCCATAAGGTTCGTTTCAGTCTTGTGAGATTTCTTCTCACTCGTAAGCAAGCAGTCTTCTTTGTGCTTTTACAGTTATAAGAAAAGGAAGTCCTGTGAGATTTCTTCTCACTCACAATTTTACTGTTGTAAGAAAAGGAAATAAAATTCCAGTGGTAGATCTCATTTACACCCAAAAAAGAGAAAAATCAGTTAGTCTTGTTCGTTTTATCTGTTTATTAAAGTATTCTCATAGAAATGGGTGTTCCATTGTGTATGTGTATGTGTATGTGTGTGTTTCAATTTTCTTTTATCATCTCTGCTTGTTTACATGGGATTTTGAAGAAGGGCTTGGGTGTTTTATGTGAGTTGTAAATAATCTTTTTTATACCTTGGCAAATACGCATGCTTGATTTTTTTGAGGCCCATGTATATTTTTAGAATATACAATTATGCAGAAGAGAAATGCTATCCTCACTTGGACCGAGACATGCTAGTTTTGGCCAAAATTGTATCTTGAAGATTTTCATTGAATATAAGCTTTTGTATAGTCACTTAATTGAACCATTTCGGTGGTTTTAATTCTGCAAGCCATCTGTGCAGAACTTTGGCTTTGCAGTTTTTGGAGTTATTGTGTCTTGGTTTGATTTCATCTTGAAAGCCCTTTTTTGTGCCACATTGCATGGCAGCATGCCGCGTTGATTTCGCTTATCTTTCCGTGGCCCAGAGGCTGCAAAATTCCAAAAAGATCCGGTTTCCTATCTTATTTTTATTGTTCTATTTTTATTCTATTATTTGTAGTGCAGTGAATTTATCATCTGTACTGGTTTTCTTTCCCTCTTCAGCAAAGCAACAATAGATACAGTTCTTTAATATTATGAGTAGAATATAGAGTAATGATCCTATGCGATCCTTTTACACCCATATGTGTAGGATTTCAAAGGATCACCATTAAATATAGCACAGATCTTTAAAAAAGTTATCACAGAGTGTGAGACTTGATTTTTTTAGAGATCTGTGTCATATTTAATGGTGATCTTTTGGGATCGTACACACATGGGTATAGGAGGGTCTTAAAAGTTTTAGCTAAAAAAGAAATGGGGTCAAAGTGGTTTTAAGATTTGTTTGGTTAAAAAAAAATAGGGTCGAAAGGTATATTTTTTTAAGATCGGTTTGGGTTAAAAAAAAAAAGTAAAGTTAAAGTGGTTTTAAGATTTGTTTGGACTAAAAATAATAAGATCAAAATGAGTAAGATATAAAACCTTTATACCTCAAATATGTATTTTGAAACGAGGGGGCAAAATGTAGAAAAACATTTTTTTAACATTTTTACAGTATGGGCTGGTGGGTTTATCGTGAACACCACTTTTTGCATCCATCTCTGCCGTTGGGTACGCAAGTGGAGAATTGCGTTCACTGACCCACGCTACACTTTTACTTTTTCGGATGTTAGTGGGTACTATTATATTCTTAGGTCTAATATGATCCATATGTAATGCATGGCAAAAAACATCATCACAGTTTTATCAATTTTGAATAGCGATGGAGGAGTTTGGTTTGACTGGCATCGAAAAAAAATTATATAAATTTAGCACAAAAAGGTCATTATCATTTTTGTCTTTTAGATTTCAAATCGAGTGGTTGTGAGCTTGCCATTTAGCAGACTTAAAGTTCAAACTTTTTTTCTCAAACTTCATGACTCACTCCACATCTAATGGTTAGGAGCAATTGTGGCCTCCTTATAAGAAAGATAGATGGCCTTATGATATATAATCCCTTTATTCAATTGTTCAAGAATGTGATGTGCAACACAACTACACGGCTCTCGTTGCTAAGACTCGGAGGTTGTGGTTTCGAAATTTTTTAGCCATGGACTGATGAAGCACAAACATGATTGTCATTTGATCTGATAAAGTGGATCCATGGTCCCGTTTGTTATGAAGTGATTGAAAGTGCGACCAATGTGATCTTGTGAGGAATTTTTTTTTTCTCACCCTTTGTCTTTTCTTTTCTTTTATCAAAGATCACTTGCAATTAGTATTATTACAATAACTCTTGCTTCAAAGAAAATAAAACCTTACGAATCCAAGATCTTGAGAACTTTGATGCCACTAAATCAAATTTTTTAAATCAAAGAAAATAATCACAAATCTTGTGCTTGAGAATATCAAGACTATACAATTAAATATGCAAGAACAAGAAATAAAAGAGAATGCCGTAGATTACCTCAATCGGACTTATTAAATCCCACACCGAGTCACCACCATCTGATGACGCGGGATCGATGGTTTCCATTCAATTTCAACTGAGAGAGCTAATTTCGGCCAATCTTTTCAATGGAACCCTTATGCTCACACAAGATTCTTAAGATCAATTCTCCAAAATACAGAGACAAAACATTCACCTTTCTTTATGTTTCTTGAACCTTAAGATTTTGATCAAAATTTGGGAGAGATGAGAATTAATTTGAGAGAGAAAAAGATTCTTAAGATCAATTCTCCATAATACAGAGACAAAACATTCTCCTTTCTTTATGTTTCTTGAACCTTAAGATTTTGATCAAAATTTGGGAGAGATGAGAATTAATTTGAGAGAAAAAAAGATGCCCCTTTTTTTATTATTAAGAAGTAAAGAGAGAGAGAATGGGGGGCGTGCCCCTTTTTGTTTTTGATGAGGGAGAGAATGTTGAGACAGAAAGGGGGTGTGCCTGCCCTTTTTGGATAAGATAAGAGAGAGGGAGAAGGGGGAATGTGCCTCCCGTTTTATTGATTAAAGATGAGGGGGAGAGAGAATGGAGCATGAGAGAGGAGAGAGAGCCCCTATTTATAAGGGGTTTAGGGTTTTTATTGCTTGTCTCATAAGATTGAATCTGAACCGTCGATCAAAGGTGACTTGTGGGTGAGAGATCTGAGTCATTCATTCTATAGATGGACTATTAACGTTACGGAATGTACGGAACCATTATCCCCATTTCCTTTGACCATTATCCCATTAGGGAATGTGTTGAACCATTATCCCCCTTTCCTTTGACCATTATGAAATTAATCAATAAAATATTGTATTTATCTAAAATATATCCATAAGCCTCATCATCCCATTAGGGAATGTGTTGAACCATTATCCCCCTTTCCTTTGACCATTATGAAATTAATCAATAAAATATTGTATTTATCTAAAATATATCCATAAGCCTCATCAGGCCTTCTAGAAGATTTTACTCAAATCTCTAAGAGAGTATTTGATAAGTGAAATTTTATGGAAGTGGGAGTTAAATGTCCCACTTCCATGTTTGATATTATTGAGTGGAAGCTGTAAAGTGGAAAGGAGACCTTCCATGCAGTTTTTTTTAAGTATTAAAATGGATTCATTTTTGGAAGACCTCCTCCATAAAAAATAATGGAAGAGCAATCTTCCATAATTTGTGGAAGAGTCTCTTCCACTCCCAAAAACTCCATGTGTCTAACACCCCCTTAAAGATAGAGTACATTTATCACTCAAAGTTATTTAGATAAGCCATGTCAAAAGCTCATATCATCTTATCATCTCAAAACAACTTAAGATAAATAAAAAAAACAATCAATCTATAAAAATAGGGCATGATAGGCAGCCCCTCTAAAATAGGGCCGTGCCACCCAAGGGATGGCAACGTGCCCCCATAAAATTTGGGTATAGTGGGCCCATGTGCACAATGTGCCTCCCCAAAAATTAACTNTAATATATAATATAATGTCGTGGGAGGCGAAGGCACGACACGGGGAGTAGGG